GAATAGTTATTCTTAATTTTTTATTTTTGTTGGTGGATATTTCATAATTAATTTGGACCTTTCCATTCTGTTAACATGGCATGCACCTACGGGCTGGACGACCAAGAGGTTGGAGTTTGAGTCCCGGTAGGGTCAAGAATTTTCTCTTTTCCACATTGTCCAGACCGAGACTGAGGTCCACCCAACCTCCTATGCAATGGGTACCAGGGGCTCCTTCCATGGGGGTGAAGCGGCCGGGACGTGAAGCTGAATACTCACCTCCAACTAGTGCCGAGGTCAAAAAAATGTGGATCCATACACCCACTCCCCCATATACCTTCACAGCATAGTGCTTAATTAGTTAAGCACAGGGATAATTTTACCTATCGTGGCATTTACATCACTCTGTAATTCCACTCTGTTGATTAATGAAAATGTGTTCCTTTAATTCATCCAAAATATACCCTTGTTTGTTGTGTAGTTTTTGATGGCCATTTTATGATCTGGCTCATGTATTTCATCTCAGCAGCCATCATGCTGGATTTATTTACCCAGATTTTGCTGCAACAGAAGAAAGACTGAGGAGCTAATGTGTTACAGGTTCTTATTTTTGTATTTTATGGGCTGTTATTTATACAGGTGTATTGATTGTAATCATTCTTTTGTTTGTTTTTGTTTTTTAGGGCTGTAATTAAAAAAGTTTAATGTTAGAGGTATGTCTTGTTTCTCATATAAGGGAATTGAGGGTATTGACATATTCTGGTTTTTGTTAAGTTGGTTATTTAACTGTTCCTGCATTGTTGATAATGATTTTGTTTAAAATTCGATTTTACCATTATTCTACACTGAAAAGCATATGGTACTAACTAGTATGAACATGCCCAGTGTTAACATTAATTACTTATTCACATTTTTGTTAGCAGGTATGTATGATGGGAGTGAACATACACCAAAACTTCTGCCATGTTCACACACAGTGTGTTTACACTGCCTCTCAAGGATTGCAGCCTCTCAGACACGTGACACAGGGTCATTCCGGTGTCCCATCTGTCGTGAGTTGATTACAATCCCGCGTGGAGGAGTGAGTGCACTTCCGCCCTCATTCCTGGTTAATCAGCTGCTGGATCTCATGTCCCGACAGCGGAGGGAAGTCATTCCTAAATGTTCTGTGCACATCAATCAGGTACAGGCTCCTACAGCACATATAAACACTTGAAATAAGATGCATCACAGGGTATGTCTCAGAACGGTACAATATGAAGGTAAAGCTCGTATATTAAAACCACATCATTGCGAATCTTGTATGTTGCAGGAATTGCTGTTCTGTGAGACTTGTGATACAGTGTTCTGTACACTCTGCACCGGTGGAAGTCACAGCACAAGTGGAACGAGTTGTGAACATACCATCATCCCTTTCTCCATTGCAATCAAACGCATGTCTGAGATCCTCCTCTATAAGGCGAATGAGTGCATATCTAAGGTTGGTATCAGTTGTATTTTACATTGGTTCTCATGTATGACTTCAGGTCACAAATCTTTTAAACAAGTTCTTTTCAGATATCTTCAGGTGTAATGTGAATCACAGGTTTTGAATTGGGCTGGGAGGAAGTGCACTTCAATGGGACTGTAGGCTCTTGAAGGGGCAACTGTTCCAGGACAGGAAAATAGTATAGTATAGTATAGTATAGATAGACTCGTATGACCGAATGAGAAAGTTGGATAGACGAGTATTTGGCCAGAAGTCTGTCTTAAGAGAGTCGCCTTCGAAGGCAGTCTAGTATTTGCCGAGATATAGTGGAAGCAGTAATTGTGATGCTGCAAGTGATAGTAACTGTATTCCTGACTGTAAGTAAGTGTGGATGAATGAGTGCAATAAATAATCATTGAGTCCGAAGGGTATGTGAAGTTATTTGCCACGTGACATACCCAACGCGTGACAATGTTTCCCCGAAACATAAGTTGACGTTCAGCGGATTACATGACGACATATCCCAGAAGACAGAATNTGAATCTTGTATGTTGCAGGAATTGCTGTTCTGTGAGACTTGCGATACAGTGTTCTGTACACTCTGCACTGGTGGAAGCCACAGCACAAGTGGAACGAGTTGTGAACATACCATCATCCCATTCTCCATTGCAATCAAACGCATGTCTGAGATCCTCCTCTATAAGGCGAATGAGTGCATATCTAAGGTTGGTATCAGTTGTATTTTACATTGGTTCTCATGTATGACTTCAGGTCACAAATCTTTTAAACAAGTTCTTTTCAGATATCTTCAGGTGTAATGTGAATCACAGGTTTTGAATTGGGCTGGGAGGAAGTGCACTTCAATGGGACTGTAGGCTCTTGAAGGGGCAACTGTTCCAGGACAGGAAAATAGTATAGTATAGTATAGTATAGATAGACTCGTATGACCGAATGAGAAAGTTGGATAGACGAGTATTTGGCCAGAAGTCTGTCTTAAGAGAGTCGCCTTCGAAGGCAGTCTAGTATTTGCCGAGATATAGTGGAAGCAGTAATTGTGATACTGCAAGTGATAGTAACTGTATTCCTGACTGTAAGTAAGTGTGGATGAATGAGTGCAATAAATAATCATTGAGTCCGAAGGGTATGTGAAGTTATTTGCCACGTGACATACCCAACGCGTGACAATGTTTCCCCGAAACATAAGTTGACGTTCAGCGGATTACATGACGACATATCCCAGAAGACAGAATTCTCCATAACCACCACTGTGAGAACCTCAGATCCTACACAGCGCTATATCCCAGAAGACATAACTCTCCATAACCACCAGTGTGAGAGCCTGAGATCCTACACGGTGTTATATGCCAGAAGATAGAACTCTCCATAACCTCCGCTGTGAGAACCTCAGATCCTACACAGCGCTATATCCCAGAAGACAAAACTCTCCATAACCACCGCTGTGAGAGCCTCAGATCCTACACGGCGTTATATCCCAGAAGATAGAACTCTCCATAACCTCCGCTGTGAGAACCTCAGATNGTGTATGACTTCAGGTCACAAATCTTTTAAACAAGTTCTTTTCAGAAATCTTCAGGTGTAATGTGAATCACAGGTTTTGAATTGGGCTGGGAAGAAGTGCACTTCAATGGGACTGTAGGCTCTTGAAGGGGCAACTGTTCCAGGACAGGAAAATAGTATAGTATAGTATAGTATAGATAGACTCGTATGACCGAATGAGAAAGTTGGATAGACGAGTATTTGGCCAGAAGTCTGTCTTAAGAGAGTCGCCTTCGAAGGCAGTCTAGTATTTGCCGAGATATAGTGGAAGCAGTAATTGTGATACTGCAAGTGATAGTAACTGTATTCCTGACTGTAAGTAAGTGTGGATGAATGAGTGCAATAAATAATCATTGAGTCCGAAGGGTATGTGAAGTTATTTGTCACGTGACATACCCAGCACGTGACAATGTTTCCCCAAAACAAGTTGACGTTCAGCGGATTACATGACGACATATCCCAGAAGACAGAATTCTCCATAACCACCACTGTGAGAACCTCAGATCCTACATGGCACTATATCCCAGAAGATAGAACTCTTCATAATCACTGCTGTGAGAACCTCAGATCCTACACAGCGCTATATCCCAGAAGACAGAACTCTCCATAACCACCGCTGTGAGAGCCTCAGATCCTACACGGCATTATATCCCAGAAGATAGAACTCTCCATAACCTCCGATGTGAGAACCTCAGATCCTACTTATCAGTAGTTTTACCTGTGTGTGAAATTTGTGACTCACTGGTATATGTGTATGTGCTTTATGGACAGCTGTCGCAAGCGCAGGATGCTGTGACCCAAGAATTGCACAGGTTGGACTTGGCTACAGAACACTGCTTAGATCAAGTGACCAGAACATTTCAAGATGTTTCTGCACTTCTAGAGCACAGGCGACAGGAAATGGTGGCTGCTGTTGGTGCAGCATGTGAGGAAAAGAGAAAGGTTCTAGAAGAACAACTTGCTCTTATAGAGGGTGAGAAAAATAAGGTGAGGTATATAAACTTAAGTAACTTTCTGCACATTAGCCCATTCTCGTGCCATCATTTAAGGAGCTTTTCCTCTGACCTCCCTTTCAAAGTTGACAATGGAGCATTTCATGGACACAGTTTTCATGAAACCAAAATGGGCTGCTAGTTGCCTCACTGTTGGTTTAGTTTTCTTCTAGCTAGCAAGCATATGGAAGGATGCTTCTTGATTTTATCTCCACATACAAAAAAAGCAAGAAGATATAAACTTTTAAATAATGCTTTGGGATTATTTAATTTTGAATCAGTGCTGTGCAATATGTATTTACACAGTCTGTGAGTACACACTTGTGCATGCGCTATTTAAAATTTTATGTGAAACCTAACGAACTTCATGGTACAGAGTCCTTCTTGAGAACCTTATTGGACAAAGGATGAATGATGTGTAGTCATCATGAATTTGTAATATGTGACATGTTTTATATCCAGCCCTGTTGGGGAGATGATTGGATCCAATAAGTGAAAAATAAATGTAAATGTAAATGTACACCTGATAAGATGCTTGGTTGCTGGTCAAAAACAATTTTCTGCCTTTTATAGAACCTGTCTGATACTGGAGCACAGTGCCTCGTGTTCAGTGCAACAACCAGTTTGGTGCAATACTTTGTTTAGATTGTTCACTGCCTTGAAAATCCACCTGCACATGGATAAGTTGTGAGAAATGGGTGATGTCTGAGCACTTCTGATTTTGACACTTCTGGATATTCATGGGAGGGAACTGGACCAGAATTCAACCAACAGTAGTTCATTAACCTTTTTCAGCGTAAAATCAGAGATAGTGTCTTTTCAAAATCTATTAGTTTGCATTGACATCTTGTCAGGTATGTTCTCCCATCCAAAGTAGAAGGGAAGTAGGGCAAAAAATTTGTGCTGAAATTGTTCAAATGTTAGATAATGTCACTGAGAACCATTTAATCCAACCTACATTCAGAATCTGTCAACAGGTCATTCAAAGATGGAATATATTCAGACATCTTGCTTTTTCTTGATCCAAAACTCAAATTTACATTGAAAATAAGCAATTCTATCCCCTTTATTGGCTATGAGATTTTTTTGTTTCCCCCATTGCAGCAAGAAGTTTACTTTGCCAGTCTTTGTGAAAATGCCTGCCAAATGTCTCCAGTTTTGCACCCACAAGGTATTTTGTAAATGATGGAATAGACGATTTCAGTGCTTTCCAAAGAAAGCAGAGAATCTGAATGAAGCGCTTTCTTTCTTCCACTAAGAGTCCTACTTCTGTGTGCAAAAGCAGTGTTTATGTTCACTGCACATTTCCTCACAGAGAAGTTTAAACAACTCGGTACTAAGGGACCTGAACTCTGTATGGTTTGTTGTTTTTATGGCTTCATCCACCATATTTTTCAGGCTTATTTGCATCCTTTAAAATGAGTGGATATCAGTGGAGCATACAATGACTAATCAAGCAAGATGATACCAAAGCTTTGATATAGATACCATCCCTGCTATATTTCTGAATATTGCTCTTGCTCCAGCTGTACACACATCAACATATTTCTGCCACCTGATTTCATGTTCTTTTATGTAGGTATCCATGATATTATATATGTCTTTATCTGTAGTGTGGTTTTCAAGGGACTACAGCACAGTTAATCTTCCTCAGTTTTATTTTGGTAGCAGGAACAAGCAAACTTGATAAAGACTGTCAGTCTGGATACATCTGTTGATTCATTAATTTGTAATAAAAACCACTGCATTATATAAGTTGCATGTTTTTCATCAGCTGATGGAACCTGAATGCAATTATGAACACCTGCTTATCCATCAAACACCCCACCATTCTAACACATGCGTTAATTCTTTATTTATTTACTTTATTAATTTCTGTTCATCCATACTGGTACAACCACTGGATATAGAAAAGTAAAAAATGAATACAAGACAGTACAATAATAATTACAATAACAATTAAAGTTTTCAGCATTGTATAAGTTTTCCCTGTGCATGTAATTTGGTAATTCACCCTGTAGGAGGCCATTTCATTTCATTTATTCACCTTCCATAAATCCTGTTGAAATGCTACCAGGGTTGCATTTCCATTGTTACTCTTTACAACTTGGGCTGTCAGCTGTGACAGCATTTTAGTGCCTCAGCTTCTACTTGAAAGACATGTGTCTTTAGCTGTATGTTTTGGTCAAGAAATTTCAGAATGCCCATCTACATAGTTTAGCACTGTTTATACTCAATAATGCTTGTAAACCCCAAAGACAATTAAGATTTACATTACCCATTTCTGCTTTCACTGAGCACTGCATCTGGATTGTCGCTGTTGGTGCCTTCAGACAATGATGTTGACTGAAATTTGTTTGCCTCCTTTGTTCCAGCTGCAACCTTGCCTGATCTGTTCTTTAAAATCCTCCCTTTAGCCACTGATTCATCAAAGAATGTACAATTACATAGAAAAGTGGCTAACTGCTGGAAATTTTGCACTTGCATAAGTGATTAAAGTATAAAAGATTAAAGGAAAATTAACACTGCTTATGTATGCTTCACAATTCTGATGGCAGCGTACCGCAGCTCAAACAAGACAGAACTGTTGTTTGAGACAGTTCACATATGTGCCTTACTCTGCAATAGACACAATGATGTATTGCTCATATCTCTTACATATATTGCCCCATGCTCATTTTTTAATAAATGTGTTAGGTATAGGGAGTTTCTGAATACAGTTTATTAGCAGTGGTAAGAAATCCATGTATCACACAATTAAAGTACCTTTGTGTTTCTTTTAAGGACATAACTTACTTATTCATGAATTTTGTAAAATTAAAATTTGTCATTAGAGAAAGTTTTTGCAGATTACCTTGTAACTCTTGGCACAGACTGTGCGCTGTATAAAGTACACAAACAGCTGTTAACATTACTTCCAACTACTACCATGCTTTTATTGCACAATATCAGTTACAAAATTTGAGATGACATCCCTAGGTATGTAGTAGTAATAGTAAATAAAGCTGTTAAAAGTTTCTTTTTAATTCTTTTGAAAAATCGGTTGAAATATAGTGACCGTTTTTTAAGATTCATATCATGTATTCTTTAGCCCTTCAGTTCTGAATCTTGGGATCTTATGCTAGAACTTACTATTGGAGAGGTTCTTTTGACTGTTCTTAGTAGAATACATGTCCAAATAGCTTTTTTTTAGGAGGAGTGAATTTGATTTTTGAGGGGTACTTCTTTTAGTGTCATCTTTTCATATTTTATGTTACTATTAGTACTCTGTCTGATTTTAAGTGATTCAGGTGCTGTAGAGTATAGGTCTCCTGTCATGGTGTTAAGACATTACTGCTCTGTGTTTAGGTGGAGAGAGAATGTGAAGGTTTGCAGTATCAGGTGGAGGTCCGCAACATCACACAGCGTATTGGCAGCCTAAGTGAAAAGTTAGATGCTGCAGGAACACTAGGAGAGCCTCGAGAAAACGCATTTCTTACATGTGATTTCACTCACAATGATAGCTATGCAACACTTGAGACTGCTCTCTCCAAGCTTGGCCGAGTTCGCACAAGCACAACATTTCCCAGCTTGTGTACGGCACATCTAAACAGTCCAGCAGTAACACAACTAGAAACAATAGCTCTTATTCACACAGTAAGTAAGGTGGTATCACAGACTGCTCAGTATCATTCCAGAATGGAACTGGAATGTATTACAGATACAATGTCTCAGTTTTAAAATCAATTAATTAATTAGTAAAAATTTGTCTCAATAAAATGAATGCAGCATGCTTTATTTGACATGAAATTTTGTGTAAAGTGATAGCACAAATTGACTGATATGAATTTAATTTCATCAGTGAAGTTTAAGAACAATGAGGATTGCATTTAATGAACTTTGATTTGTCTTCATGTGTATGCAGACAGTTAAACAGTTTCCATTTTTTTTTTTCAAAATTTCAAGCTTAATGTAACTCAGAATTCCCAAATACTTAGAAAAACAAACTATTTGCACATCTCCTACATGAAAAAAGCATATGCAAAATCTTGTACTTTGAGGGTATTGCATGAAATGTTTACCCCTTCCTTTTTTTTGTTAAAAATGATCAATCCCTTGTTAGGAAGGAATATCAAACTTTATCAATGAATGCAATAGTGGCAGTATAGTTACCCACATATTAGACAATGGAATATTTGCTGTCAAGGAAAGCAGAAGTTACACTGTTTTTTGTGTCAGCAGAAAATGTTGCATAAGCAAAGAGATATCTTCATGTGTAGTTACTATAGGATTCTGACGATGGTGTATAACACACAGAGATATTGGATTTTTGGACTTTAGCCATCGTCCTGGTTTTAAGATAACTAAGAAAAACACGACATTTTGGAAACTGGATCTGTTTCCATCCTCAGGTGAGGGAAAACACCTATTCTGTTGGGTCCCTTAGAAAGAGCTAGCCTCAATCCATTGTGTTTTCCCTCACCTGAGGACGGAAACAGATCCAGTTTCCGAAACGTCACGTTTTTCTTAGTTATCTTAAAACCAGGACGATGGATAAAGTCCAAAAATCCAATATCTCTGTATGTTCATGTGTGTTTGGTGCCTGGTACCTGGATTTCTGCAAAACAAAGAATATGAAGATTCACAAAGGCAGTTCAGAAAGAAGGGTTCAGTGCTGGAGCGAAGGATCTTTCACTTCAAGCATCCATAGCCCAGAGAATATAGAAATTGAAAGCAATAATGCAACAAAGCTAGAGAAAATCAATGAGGGAAAGAATAATGAAATTGGGCAGATCACAGTGTTTAATTTAACAGATGTTGCTCTGAGATCTGCACATTTTGTAGAAGGTGTGATGCTCAGACTTGGTGAACATGATAAAGAGCAGAGAATTAATTTTGTTGCATTGTTGTATTTCACAACACAAGATTATCTGATGATCAGTTCAGTTTGTTTGGATTGAAAATAAGCAAAATATAAATTTCTGGGCTAATGAATGTCTATGTCAAGTACATAATAAATGATGATTGGTGGAATAAAATTACTGTGAGGGTTGCCACAGTATAATCAGACCTTTCTTTTTCTTCAGTGACTCAGTCAACCCCATTATTTGTCATGCTGTATAACAAGTTTATGCTTCAAATTATTGTTCATGGACTGGTGGTTAACACTTGATGGTCTGTGCAAGATAGACACAACTAATGTGAGCCATGATTTCCTGGATAGTCGTTCCTCACCATTGTGTAGGTGACCATGTCTGTGGAGAGGATTGGCAGTCCTATAGGATATTAATTCATGTGCTTTCTTTCTTTGGGACTGCAAGGAGAAATTATATCCAAGGAAACATGGTTTATTAATGTAAACCACACACATCTGCTGTTTCAGAATACATGACTTCATCTTGAGGAAGTCATAAAGCAGAATGATCATATTGAACAAGTTTTGCAGTGAGAACAACTTTGTGTTTTTGTGCTTGTGTGAATATAGGATTTATAACATTTTGTATTCAAAACTTGTGTATTTTTAAAGGGTAAACATTTTATGTGCTACTTCTTCTATTCTAAAGAAGTTTTCACTTTATTTCCTCTACCTTTTCAGAGTGGTGGTTCAGAAATGTGTGTTTGCTTCAAATGTAAACAAACAAATTGGAATATGCATTATAAAGTACATGCACAGTAAACAACAGACTTATTATGAGGCATTGAATATTGTTTATGAATTCTTTGACAGCATCTTGATTACCTGTAACCTAAAATTCGGTTGGTTATAAATATTGAGCAGTAATTAAAGTATATTAATATTTTTGTTCTGTATTTGAATTATGACAAAAGACTCACATTACATGTACAGTTTCTTTATACTGATGTATGACTCATGCAAGAGCTGCAATGTTTTCAATTTCCTTCCAGCACATAAATTAAATTTTAAAATAAAATTAGCAAGGAATGATAACTTACTAATGAAGAGTTCTATCTCCTGAGATATAATGCCATATAGTCTTGAAGGTGGAGGCAGCAACTTCAGTGGACTACAGGGCATTATACCCCAGAAGATATAACTCTTCATAACCACTGCCGTGAGAGCTTCAAATCCTGGATGACTTAGTAACTTTGTGACGATTTTTTAAAGTTTCTCTTGTTTTGGAGAAGTTTTACCTTGTTTACATTGAGTGAAAAGCTTTATTTTGTAACTTGCTATGGAAGAAGACCTGCAAGAAATACTGCGGGCTTGAACAATCATACAGCATGGCAGTTCTCTTTGTCTTTATTGCATTTGGGAAATTAGATTTATTTGTACAGTTATAAGAACTGCAGTTTCTGTATTTACTGTGTTTATTGAGTTTTTTGTTTGTAGTGTTCATTGGATTCTTATTTCCCATAGGTTGACTACCATGGTGATCCTCGTACATCAGGTGGTGATCCTGTCACTGTAGAAGTTCTCCCATTGGATGACTCTGGCAGTGAATCTGCAGCACTAGATTTTCAGATTGAGGACACTGAAGATGGCACATACAGGATCAAATTTCGACCCCCTGCTGCAGGAAGATATGTGTTAAAAGTGTCTGTATTTGAACGTCCTATTAAAGACTGCCCTTTGTTCTTTGATGTGACTGAACACAATAATCCAACAGCAGTGTATGGTTCACGTGGCTCAGGCAAAGATGAATTTCTTCAACCTGTTGCAGTTGCTGTTGATGAGGCTGATGGAGGAACAGTATATGTTGTGGATACCGGAAATTCAAGAATAAAGGTTATAAATCATAGTTTTATTTGAAAAAACTTCTGTTTTAGGAGGTTGTTCATTATTTCACATAATGAAATGCTCTTTATGAAGTCTTATAGCTTGAAAGAAGTTTACGGTCTTGTGCATCATAGTTTCCAAGCTATCAGACACTGTATCATAATGTGACACATGTAGGAGATACCCTGTGCTGCTGGTATGGCTTGTGCATATGTATTGTCATGTGTTAGTGACTAGACAAGAGGGTTTGGACTGAATATTAAATTTATTGAATGTTTATAACTTGTAACTACAAATAATTGTAGCACTTTCACTGTTCTGCGCACACTACAGATAACTACAACACACTTCAAGTCTTCCCAGTCTTCTAGTCTCCATGTGCTCATTGCTTGGTAGCAGCCTCTGACAGTGGGGATTCTCTTTACTGCTTCTGTGCTCAACAGCTCCTGTCCTCACTGGCTGGCCACTGACTGCTAGTCCTGGTGTGGTAATTGGCTACTGGCTTTCACAAGCACATTCATTGTTGGTTTTGAGTCCCATGGGACCCATGACCATATATTTTTGCCTCATGACTCTCTGCCAGTCCTGGTTTCCTTTTGTTTGGTTCAGGGAAATTCCTGCTGGTTTTCGCCAACACAGTCATTCTTGATTCCGAGTCCTGTGGGACCTGTGACAGTATTTTGCTTTCTCACAATTCTGGGAGTCATGCAGCCACTGGCACAGTCATTCTTCATTCCTCCTTATATAACTTCAACAGAGACTACATAAAAAACCCTTCCTCCAACAGTTTCTATATTGTTATGCACATATCCATTTCCACAAGAACGGTTTTATTGAGACGTTGCCTAGAAATGAACATCTTCCCTGGATCCAGTATTTTGGCATTTAGGCATCATGTCACAGTATTCTTGCAAGGAATCTCTTAGTCTTCTGCTTGCATTTAGCCCTGACTGGAGGAATACCAACTCCTTACTGTCATGAATCTCAGACTGATACATAAGCAATATTTCTGGATCAGTTTTTCTTGATACTCATATATTCAGTAGTCCTGTAATGTTTTATTAATCTCTACCTTTGTAATGTGACAGAGTTACTCTAACTTTCTGTTAATCCACTTTTATTTGTATAATCACACCTGATAAAACGTCTTCTGGGATATAATGCTGTATAGTCTGTTAGAAGTCTAGTGACATTTCAGAGGAACATGTTGCCTCAATCTTCAGGGTAGAAGAGTGAGATACTTATGGCATTGACTGTAAATATTACTGTCCTCAGAGATGTAACTCATATGATCTGGTACAAGTTTTTCACTTCTTAATTTCCTTTCTGATTCTCTCCTTGGAATTGGCCACAGGTACTGTTTTGTCTTTTCTTCCATTCAGTAAACTCTCTAAAAATAATCTTTTAAAGAATCCATGTTTATTACTCTATTCTCGTTAATTCCTTTTACCTCCTATTTGTTCACTCAGGACCCTATTTATTTACTTTATTTTTCTCCTGCTTTTTTATTGTTACCCCTTCTCTGCCCACTGAATCAGCTCCTGTTAGTGCTGTACAGATGTAGCAAAATGTCTCTGGTCTTTGTTGAGTGCTAAAAATACAAACTTGGGTTGGCCAACCAATGGAGGCACAGGGAGAGAAGAGAAGACCGCCAAGTATTAGTGCATATGGAAAGAAACCAATCCTTCCTTGTATTCCCCCCTTCCTCTTTTCATCCTTTGCCAGTCCTTTCCCTCCTTCTTCGACATAGCTCAGCCTCAGGGATATTTTGTGTCGACTGTATCTATTCTCTCATTCACATTTCAGTTAATAACTGGCCCTTTGAAAGGTCACCATTTCCTTACTATGGTTCACTTCCTGCACCTCATATGGTTCAAAGTCATTGTTTCTTCCATTCCCTCTGTCCATGGAAAGCAACCCTTTAAAGATCTACTATTCTGTACTTTGTTTGCCTTACTCCTATTGGTTCATTCAGAGACCTAGTCCTCTCTTTCCCTATATTCATGCCAAGTTTTTTGCTTCCACCATCAGCTTACTTCTTTACCCTGAAGATGGAAGCACTAGTTTCCTCTGAAATATTGTTACCTATCTGTGAAAACTACATGGTGTCATGTCTCAGAAGACAGCATCTTCATAAGCATGAGGATCATAGAACTTAAATCTCACATTCTAAGATGTTTATTAGATTTGGATTCTTGAAAAATGTATAAATATAAAAAACAACTTCAATTGTCACTTCCTTATCTACAAGATGAGAGAAGGAAAGAAATTGCAACAAAATATTTTCCTTACATTGGCTTTGCTAAATGCAGCATAAAACTTACGACTTGTCATTAGGAAACTTGGGGGGGGGGGCCTGTTATGTAAAGTACATGATGCTAACAACATGTTAAACTGCAATCTGAGTATTTACTTATTTGAAAACTTGCTTCGTATATGTTACTGTGTATAAAGTGGACACAGGAAGGGTCATGTCCATCCATATGATTCATATCTGAACCTACCAAATGGATTTCCACGAAACTTGGTATTGTGGATCTATATCAGAAATACAAATGCAAATTTGATTTGCATTTGTTCACTATAATCCCTGCTTTACATGAAGTTCAAATCAAATCTACTGCTTCTTTCAGAAATGGCTCATCATACAAAAGAAGGATTATGTGGGCAAAAACTAAGATGTACATTTGTATCTGAAACATTTTTTGATATTCAGAATTACTGGGTTTTTGGACATTTAGAATCTATTTTTGATATGGTGGATATTTAAAAATTACAAGGAAGAAAGATGATTTGGTGCTCACTTAAGCACAGAAAGATCTTTACTTTGTCAAGGAAAAATAATTTATAGCTATGGACAGTGTGATTAACTTGGCAGTGCAGCATTATATTTAGGTGAATATCAAAGTCAGTAAGGTATGAAAAATAGCAAATGACATTTATAATATTTTTTCTTTCCCTAGTGTCACAGCATATCAGAAGTAGTCACCTAGAGTAATGATTTTCAAATTTTTCTTTCAAACTGTGAAAGTTCACAGATAAAATAAGGAGCCTTGTAAATTTATATAGGTTTTTCCTGAGAAGGCTCATTAAAGTGGGCTGTGACTTTGACTTCTGTTTCAAGAAGTCGGTAGGGCTCCATCATCTCTTCAATATAATGTTATATCATGCACTGATGTACTATGTATGTCTGCTGTAGGTGCTTACACCAGAGCTGGAGTTTGTTCGTCATATAGAAAATGAGGGTCTGGCGGGGCGGAGCTGCACTGGTATTGCTGTTTCCAACAGTGGGCTTGTTATAGTCAACTGGCGCAACAAATCCGTTACTGAGTTATCTCCTCTTCATGGTGACACACTTTCCAAATTTTCATATAATGCCTTCCAGGTAAATACATTTTATTTTAACATCTTATTTCTGGTGTTCAGCAGTCTCCTGACCTAATCTCTTGAAACATTCTTGTGTAAATTATCATTCCTAGTTTTGGCACTCAGACGCATTTGTTTTTTCTTCCTTTCTCCTAGCACAATTTACTGGAGGGTTAACTGACTTCTTGATACTGTAATGTGTTAGTGAGCAGATGCGGGGTTTGGATTGATGATTGGATTTATTGAATACTTAGAACTCATTAACTACATGTAACTATAACAATTTCATGGATCTACACACACTACAAATCACTGTACTACAGCACACATAAAGTCTTCTGTGTGTTTGCCAGTCATTGCTTAGTAAAAGTCTTCTAACAGTGACAATTCCTTTGCTTCTGTGCTCATGTCTGTACTGGCTGGCGACTATCTCGCAACTGACCATCAAATGCGGCTCCCAACTGCTGCCTGGGTTCTTGTTATTTAACTTTGGCATGGACCACAGAGAAAACACAATTTTCATCAATTCCTCTGTTGTTGCTGATGTGCTGGCAAGCTGTTGCCTAGCAGTGTCTCACTTGTTTATCAGTCCATTACCACACAACGGACAGTGTTTAGATAGTCATGTCACAATTTAAAAAGTTATAACGTTACAGAAACCTAGTAAGGAACCAAAATTGCCTCAGAATTTATGTCTGATAGCTTCTTGTCCACAAGAGGCAAGCTACTGTCTCAGCCAGCCTGGTGTCCTTGCTATATAACCTTGGGTCAGACTCAAAACAAAACATCACCTCCAACAGCTTTTCTGTTGTTGTTACAGGCAGTTGCCTAGCTATAGCCTGAATATCATTTCCATGAGAACATGTTTACTGAGTAGATTCTAAAGGGTTCTGACAATGATGCATGACACTGAGCTGTTACTAAGAAACGCATATTCCTTCTTACGATTGTTTCATAGCAACAGTCCTACATGTTACAGTATAAATTGTATAAATTAAAATTTTCCATCAGTCTAATCACACGCAGCTTTCATCCTGCCATATTCATTCATTCATTCATTCACATTCCATAAAATCCTTACATGGTTTAAACAACCAACAGATATAGAAATCGTCAAGTAGTATGAACTCATCTTGCTCATAAATCAAGCAGGTGTCACACCCAGGACCTCTGGATCTGTAGCCAGGAACTCTCACCACTAGACCACAGAGTTCTTCAGCTTTTTATTGTGTACAGCCTCATTTTAATAGTCATGTGGAACATTTGAAATATGAGGGTCATACTGAAAGTCATGAGCAACAATTTTTTATAAAGTAACATGCTTTATTATTGACAAACTAAATACACCACCTCAATCTACATACCTTTTTTTATTTTTCCACATAATCGCCACTTCTTTGTACTCATTTCTCCCAGCGTTCTGGGAGTTTGAAAATTCCCCTTCTGTAAAATTCCGTTCCAGCCATCTGAAGACACTGACACACTGCATTCTGAATTGCCTCCCTTGTCTCTAAACGTCCATGCAGCTGATCCTTCACAAATCTGAAAAGATGGTAGTCAGAGGGTGCCAGATCAGGGCTATAGGAGGGGTGTGGAAGAATTTCCCACCCCATCTTTGCAATTGCTTCCAATGTGAGGCGAGCGGCATGGGGGTAAGCGTTGTCATGCAGGATGATGATGTTTCATCCTGGACGTTTATCGCACAATGCACGACGGAGCTTGTGCAGCATCTGGACATAACGAGCAGCATTGATGGTTTGCCCAGGTTCCAAGAATTCGGCCAGAATAAACCCCTCTGCATCCCAGAAGACTGTGGCCATCACCTTCACAGCTGATGGCACTGTCTTTGCCTTCTTTTTTGATGGAGAATGCAAATGGTGCCATTCCGTACTCTGCCATTTCGTTTCAGGTTCGAAATAGTGAAACCATCGTCACCTGTCACAATACAGAGCAATAAATCATCACCTTTGTGTCGATATCTCTGCAGCAGTTCCGAGGTGATAGCTTTTTGCTGACCTTTGTGGTCTTTGGTCAATAACTGCGGGACCCAACGAGCACAAACTTTCCTATAGCACAAGCTTTCAATCATCTCCTGTACTTCGCTGTGCCCTATTCCAAGTTTTCGGGCTATTGTGCCCACAGTCACACGCCTGTCATCTTGAATAATCACATCCACTCTTTCCTTGTTGCATTCAGTTGAGGCTGTTCAAGGACGACTGCTCTGAGGCTCATCTTCGATGCCGGTGTTCCCATCTTTAAAATGGTTCAGCCATCTTCGAACACTGCTCGCACCCATGCACACACTTCCATAAGCACGCTGAAGTCTCTGTTGAATTTCTGCAGCAGGGATTTCCTCTTTCACAAGAAATTCGATGACAGCATGCTGGCGAAACGACATATCATTGTTGGCCATTTTGTTAGGAGTGATACTGGTCACGTGATGCAAGCTATTGATGTCACAAGACACTCAGGGTTGACACAACAGCTGGTTCCACCTACCATTGTACTCTCTTTCGTCTGCTGTTCCCAGGTTGCATGCCAAAAAAAGTTACTCATGACTTTCGGTACGACCTACATGTTACATATGTTATTTTGATTTCTTTATCAAAGATATCACCTGCAGTAGAAGAGTCATCAAGTTCAATATCTGAAATATGTACACACACACACACACACACACAGAGACAGAGACAGAGACAGAGACAGGACATGATGTACTATTTGTCAGACAAAAGTACTTATATGTGTATACCAGTGTTGACATACTTTCAGATACAATTCTGATGCTTGGTAATAACTACACTTTTTGCTTGTGAAATCCTCCACAAATAATTAAAACCTCACTTCCTTATAATGGAATCACTGGCTATGGATCAGTCACCGTCACATAACACAGACATTTGCTACATGGAGACTGAGCACCTAATTGTACACACTATGCTGTACCTTTTATCATTCTACATATTCTGGCTGAATGGCCATTTTAGCCATTTTACATTGAAGAATGCCACAGTTCCCACACATATTTTACCCTGTGCTGAGGCATGGGTTTTGAATTAGAATTTTGTATTGGCACAAATAGGCATAAATATGACACATCTTGAAATCCATACACACCTATAATGGACTCATCCTCTCATGCATTTAGTGGGTCATTCACTCATTTCATATCTCTGTGTTTGTGTGTGTTTTACCTCGAGTTTCATGTTTAATAATCATATGTGTAATTTGCTAGGAACCGATTGATGTGGCAGTGGACAGGGGATATGGTCACATCCTCGTAGCAGACAATGGCCTCAGTTGTGTCTTCATTTTTGATTCTGATGGAAAGATTCTTTTTCAGGTATATATCTCATTTTAAAATTTAAATATATTTAATTCATGTACCTTAAGCATGTCATGTTTGGGAGTAATGAATCAGTAAGCTGTGATACATTTTTAGAATTAATCATAATGTGACACAGCAGAAGAAAATGATCCATTAAGTTTATTAACTCAGAGGAGCAACCCCTGAGTTAACACTACTTCTTGCAGCCCTGTTTCCCAAAAACTCTCATTTTGTATGGCTTGAAATTCCTAGGATGAATTTGGATGATGTTTGGAATCTTTTGGGCACATTTCAGTCTCCAGAACACTAACCTTTCAGTTTAATTGGTTGGTTGATTGGTAAGTACAGTAGCTGAATGACTTGCAGAATATTATGAATGGTCAAAAGTTCTCACAAAAACTGCTGAATATGACAGCTCAAGGACATATATGCAAAAATATGCCTTGCTCTCACCGAATTTAAGTATTTAAAGTGCTGAAATAAAATCTCTAGTTTACTGTATCATTATTATCATTATAAATCCACAAGTATAATCACATGTATTCATTCTGAATATGACGTCTCTTTGCCTCATGTTGGATAGGAATCATTTGGCATGTACTGTAGCTCTTAACAACTCCACCATTTCACATATTGTGTTTCGTTTAGCATCATAAATCATGTCACGTACACAATGAAGGTTTATTGTAGTACATAGTTACTGAGACTATTAGAACATACTGTTTGTCATTGCTTTTAAATGTCTATACTTTTTATTCCAAAATGCAGTTTTACAATTCTGTGGGTTTCTTTTGCTCTTTTCCTGAATGTCACATACAACTTGATGCAAATGCCATTCTTTCACTTCTGACTACAACACAACACAGGCATAAACATATTCATACAAACCAGCATGCCTGTTAACAGTGGGACATGAGGCCTGCAATGTGAATTTTCTTATCAGGTGTAATTTTGTTTTAGCTTATCCCTATACTGGAGTTTATGCCAATTTTATAACTCTGGATTTCACAGGTAGGGAAGAAAGGCAGTCAGAGAGGTTACTTCAACCTGATCTCATCAGTAACAGTTGGACCAAGTGGAGAAATTATTGTTGCTGACTCTCGCATCCAAGTATTCTCAGCAAAAGGAGACTTCCTTGAAGAACTTTATCCAGAAGGAAAAGGTTAAGTCTGTATTTAGTTAATTTCAAATTTTCAGGTATCAGAGCAGGAATATGTTATAAATAGGTTTACAAAATATCCTTTAACCTGCCACTGTCAATGAATAAGGTATTTTCATTGGCTGTGTTAATATTTTGTCATAAAGCTAAAGTTATCCCTGGGCTTAAATAATTAAACACCACATCATGAAAATGTATGTAGGAGAGGAGATGTAGGTCCATCATTCTTGACCTCAGCACGAGATGGAGGTTACTGGTCAGCTTCATGCTCTGCTGCTTTATCTTGGAGGGGGGGGGGAGCCACTGCTATCCAGTGGATAGGAGGCTGTGTGGGTCATAGAGCTGGTCTGGATGTTACAGAGAAGAGAAAAATCTCTGCCCCTGTTGGGACTTGAATCCTACACCTGCACACGCACGCACACACACACACACACACACACACACACAATTTTTCCAGTCTCTGTCAAGCTGTGTAACAAAATGTGAAATTAATTGCAAAATGCAAAACTAAGCGATAAAGTTCACCCTGTACTTATTTAAGCACTGTGCCATTTTGTTGTGGAGGTATAGATCCACACATTCTTAACCTCAACTCTACGTGGAGGTGAGTTGTCAGCTTCGCACTTCAGCCATTTCACTCCCCAGGAAAGGAGTCCCTCATAGTCATTGGATAGGAGCCTGGGAGGGCCTAAGAGCTGGTCTGGATGCTGTCCCTAGAATTGAACCCCTGTTCTTCAGTCATCCAGTTGCTATACCAGCCGAGCTATCCTGAAATGTGTCATATTTTAAATGTCTTTGTATGTCTTAATAGTGTCCTGAATGATTCATTCCTTGCTAGTTTGGGCTACAGAGCACTGGTTATTTGTTTGCTGCATTGCTTCATGCCCTCTTACTAGGGTATACTACTTTTTTTAACAATAAATATTACATTACGTTTTCTCTTTTTTGGCTCCCAAGTTTCTTTTCAAACTCTCACATAAGCTCACTGAAGGAAAGCACTGATTTCTGTTCTCTGCACTTCAGCCTTTACACTGCTTCTGAAGTTCACTTGTGGGTAGTTTTTGTTAAATTAAATATTATAGTTACTTTCAGAAACTTGTGCTGAGTAACATTATATTAGAAGTGATGATATTGTGGATTATCAATACCTGAAACATATGGGGGGGGGGAAATCCTGCCCCACAGCGTGTTAAATAATATAAACCATACACCTATTTTCATTTAGGGGGTTACATTTTTCAGGTACACCATATCCAGTTTGTCATAATATGCAAGGAAAATAAGTAATTTTTGTTTTGTTTCAGTTTTCTTTGTGTTTAATTGACAAACTTAGCTACACACATTTTGTAAGTGTTATGTGAGTTTGAAAATTCCATTTGCTTTATCTACAGTACTATAAATGTAAACATTTTTGTTCCTTCATATTTTTGCTGTCTGATTTTAACATTTAAAATGTAATTTTCAGTTGCATATATTTATTTACTCCATGACTAATATTGCAGATTAAATCTTTGTCCTATTCTTGAATATGGTATCAAAAATAGACAACAACTTTCCCATTCTTGACATTTGAGATGCATGTTTCTCATGCAGTGTATACAAAGTGCCCTACAGTAATGTTGTGAATCAAACAATTTCTCTCTTCTTCCCCTCATACCCCAAACACTGTTGCTCATTTTGATCTGTGAATTAGGCTAGCTGTTGGAAGATAAAATGTTGAGGAGACATTCAAAGAGTTGTTAAAAATTTAAAGCCGTGTACACTTTCTGGGAATTTTCCATTTTTATCTTGCATAATAACACAGTGTTAATCTATGAAATAAACGGCATACTTTAATTAAAATGGTGTTGCTGTAAGCTTGTTAAATATTTAATATAAAAAAAACTTATTTTTATTGTGAGATAAAAATCAACTTTGTGATAAAAGAAGTGTCTTGAAGGTCCTGAAATTCTGTCATATAGGTCGTGGGAGGTACGGAGGTGTAGCAGTAGATGGAGAAGATCGGATCATTGCTACCCGCTCAGAGAAGAATCGTAATTATATCCAAGTTCTAAGGTTTAGTGATGGGGGTCTTATCTCAACCATTGACTCTCATGATTATCGACTGAAACGGCCTAGCGGGATGGCTGTCACCAGTGATCATCATGTCATTGTTGTTGACCTTGGAAATGATTGTGTTAAGAAGTATAGGTATTGGTAGGTAATAATCAGAGTTACCTCTTTACTGTGGTTTAGACCACTGTGGTTCAGTAGGAGTCACAGTGTTTGTGCTTATCTCACGCCACATCAGTCTAATTACAGGTTGGAGCAGTACTGCATGTATCCTCTTCACAGGGCTACATCCCAGTATTGGAATAAGCTTCTAATATTGGTTGCTGGACAAGTAATAAGTCAACAAGCATAAAATTTGAATGTGGTGTGTAGATGTTTAAATTCTTACATCGAACAGGAAAATAGTTTTCAGTTGGATGTTAAGATGTGCACAGTGTTATTACAAATGAATAACTTATACAGAGTCGGGTATATGCAGTGCATAAAATGGATGTATCTTATTTATTACCGTTTGTTTTAGAAGATAAACGAAAACTGTATTATCAACAATTATTTATATACTGTACTTTAATTTACAATTGTCTGAAAATTCAGTAGGATCAGACTTTTTGTTTACCATTGAGTGAATAACATTTTTCTCTACCTCTGATGGAAAGTATAAATTATTTCTCCCCAGCATTTCTGCCTATAATTATAATACAAACACTGACAGACAGTTCTGAGCATCTGTGTATTTCTATAGATTTTGTATATGGCTCTCTTTTTCCATTATTTTTAGGAGTTACCTTTCTTATATTTGTTTTTTAACATGGTAATGCTTTTTTAACATTGTGACTGAAATTGAAATATTGTGTTTTTATTGTTTTTGGTTCACTCATACTGAAAGTATCTCATTCTAGTACCACTTTTTTTGTATCACAGATTGAAATTGAAATACTATTATACAATTAGTCTAAACATGGCAATGTTTATCAGTTTGTGGCTTTGTCATTATCATGCTGTTTACAAAAAGAAGTATGAAAGTTATCCATGTAACACATTATTTACTGTGTTTCAGTCCAAAAAAATATCACAAAGGCAGCATATCTAATTATGTTTTGAAGAATATTCATCTATATGTGGCCCCTGTCATTAGTTGGGTTGTGTTTCTAAACATTGAAAAGCACCGCATATATCAAAAATATGTAAAACAGGAAGCATATTGAGCATGGTGTAGAAGGAGAAGGAAACAATGTGAGTGAGTCAGGGCACATGTTACAGCTTCTACTGTGGTCACAAGTAAGCAACTGATGCCTCTCATAGCAAGCTGTGGATATACAAAAATGTGGATAACAAATATGTATGACAGTAGTCACTGTTTTACCATAAAGGGGAGAGAGAAGGAAAGAAGAGTGATGATGGTAGGGTGGACAAATAAGTGGACTGGAGAGGAATACTGAGGACAAGAGTGAAGGAGGTAAAGGTTCAGAAGTTTATATAGCATTGTATAACATTAATCTAATTATTTTTTAACAAATTATGGTTGATTTATATTTGTACCCTATTTTATGTGCTGAAGCAGGTTACCAGATATGGAATTAGTCCCAGTGGGGGCACGAGATAATCAAGCTGGACAAAACAGTTACAAAATTTTCTTCTTCAATATTTGTTTCATCAAATCATTGCCTACATGCAGTAAAACTCAGAACTGTTCTAGGTGGGTAATTGTGGATGTTGCATCATGTCTGTCAAGTACCCATCATTTTCACATCTCTACAGAGTGTGTGTGTATATTGCATTACCCCACAGTGATAAGTTTTTCCTGTGGGTAGGATCACAGGATACAAAGTTTTTTTTACATTCATTACTGACCCTCCTATAGATGCATATCATCCTGTGACATTACATTTTAATGTAATGACTAGATATGGGGTTTGGATAGCTAATTGTATGTATTGGGCTCTTATAACTTGTAACTAGAAAGACGTATGGCACTCTCATGGATCTACACACTCTGCAGATCACTGTTCTGCAACATAGATACAGTCTTCTGTGTTTTAACAGTCATTGTCTGGTAATGTTCCCAACATTGTAGATCCCTCAGCTTCCATATACATGTCCTTACTGGCTAGTGACTGTCTCGCAGCTCCTCATGGCTGCAACTCACTAAGTTCAAATCAAAGTCAGTCTGCCAGTCCATCGCATTGTCAAGCTGCATCCAGGGCCCAAGAGTAGATTTTTGTTACCATCAGACAACCTTCATTTTTATTGATGTGGTGCACCCTCTGATTAGATGATGAGTCTGTCCTTTACAGTTATTGCTGGCTGTCGCAGGTGCAGTCATTCTTGGGTTTGAGTCCCACAGGACTCATGACCATATTTTACTGTCTCAGATTAGAGACCCCCCAACCTGGATGGCCAGGTCCCTGTATTTATATCCTCCAGTAGTAGGGTGGCCCAGTTATACCCCTAGGCACTGGCTTCCCTTTTCATTGCCTCCTATGACTCACAGAACTACAGTGGAGGTATTTGAAACTGCCTCCACATGGGCAGTTCACTGAGTTGCCTTGCCTTCACTGGCTATATAGCCTCGGCTTGGACTGCATAGAAAATACTGTTTCTAACAGTTCCTTCATTGTCACTGATATGCTGGCTAGCCATTGGCAAGTGACATCTTGCTTGCTTATCAAGCCATTCCCACACAGACAATGTTTAAGTAGCCATGTCACAGTATCTTTAATACCTGTGTCTCAGTGGTACAGTTTTTTTTTTAGTATGCCTGTCAAGTACTTAAAATTGCTAGTGAACATCATCCTGGTAATTTGAGTGCCTGAGCTATAGGTTGAAATCCTGAGGAAATGCATGTTGCTTTTTAATTTATTTTGTTTTATCACTGCCATCCATTGTGTAGTTCCCATTAATCTTGCAGCAGAAGAATGGAATATGTAATAAAAATACAGCGTTGTTAAAGGACCATCATTATTGTGGCATTATACTTCAGTGGGAGGAAAAGCACTTTTCAAACAACTGCTGTGCATAGGAAAGTGCATGTTCTCCAAAGATTTCACTGCATGCTCACTCAGTTACAATTCATTTCCTTAAAAGGAATAAAAAAATTCTTTACAAATGTGGTGCAATACCTTTGAATGATAATATTGTGCCCAACAAAAGTCCAGAAATTTTTGGAGGAATCCACCTCTTAACTGATGTCTGTGGTCTGCTTCCTACATTTTCTACATAAAATCATGTACTTACATAGTGTGTAAATGATTAAAGAGTCTTTCAGTGCAACCTTGATATCACTGTGATAACAGACACTCTGACATTTGAATTTTATGTATGTACTGGAAATACTCCTTAACAGTGCTTCAGTATGGCTGTGTGACTGATGGATGTAGAAACTCTTCTGCATATATATATATTTCTGCTGATGAACAGAAAAATGCAATATTTTAGCAAGTAAATATATTATGTTTTTCAATCTCAAGGCAGCACTGCATTCAAAGAGAAAAGGAAAGGAAACTCTGCTATATGGAGAATATTGTGCATTAGTAGATGATGAAAACATAGAAGCCACTTCTTCACCAAGCAGGTTTACAGTTTGAATAAAATATCTGGTGTTCATTTTGCCTGTAGTACTGAAGTGGATTTTCTTTTGATAGGAAATATGCCTTATGTACTTCTGATGGTAATTTAAGCGTCTATGACACAGTACACCCTCTACCTGCATTACAGTGTTAAGTTAGTCATCATACTTTCATTTATTGTTGTTCCTAAATTATACTTGATGAACATGTTGCTGATGTAACATTATCTGTGACATTTATTGGTAATTATGAATATATTAAATTTGTGGTTGTATTTAAAACTACACTGTTTCATTTTATTACTTTGCACAGTTCTGAATTGGATTATTATGTAATCTGTATTGTAGATTATCTTTTTTTTTTTTGTGAAATAAAGTTTATGTCTGTGAACCTTTATAAAAAATAATGTTGTGTTGGACATTGCTTCTTCTGATTCCCCTGAATATTCTTAATTGAAATTTATAAGCATTGGCGACAAAACAGTTCCATTCTGAATAGCAAAAGCATAAGACAGATGTTTACCTACATGGACTTAACTATAGGTTTTATTTCAAAATATGAACCAGTATTGAGATGTGGTTACAACATGTTCAGTGAGAGTGTTATACAATATAAGTATTTCCCTCCAGAGTTATGTTCTTTCCTTAAATCTGTAAATAGATTATGTGCTGTTTCATTCTACTCCAGTTTTTTACTCAGTACTTGACGTATTTGACATGCAGAATATCTGGCCAGAATATGAGAAGTTACATTGGAGGATACATAATTATGTTGTCTGCATGTAGAACTAAGCTTGAAGGAAGAATAGTGGTTAATATTTCTTTTGAAGTTGGTAAGAATATTCCTCAGTAGTTAGTATGGGCAGTCAGTTTTATTGCCCTTTTTGTAAATAGGTACAATAAATACTCATAGATTCCTTCAATTACTGTGACCATTCTTCCTCACTCCACATATAATGAGTGAGTTGGTGAATCTCAGAACAATGTTCTATTCCTGCTTGGATGAATTCTGATGAAATTCAGGAAATTTCAATTTCAACATAACTGGGCTCATCTATATAAATCATTTGGTTGCATGTGTTTCAATCTGCATGACATCTTTAATCCCATGTACATTTATTAAGGTAAAGTCCTGTGCTTAACTACTTAAGCACTATGCCGTGAAAGTGTATGAAGGAAAGAATGTATAGATGTATATATCCATATTTTCTTGACCTCTGCACTAGTTGGAGGTGAGTGATGAGCTTCACACCCCGGCCACTTTACCCCCAGGGAAAGAGCCGCAGTACCCATTGGATAGGAGGTTGGGTGGACCCCAGGCCATTAATTCAGATTGCCCAAGATGTACAAAAAAACGCAAAACGCAGAACTGGAAACTAATCTTTCCTATATATCTGCTCACTTCCTTCATCTTCCATCCCCCATTTTCTCACTGGACACAAGCAATAGCAATACTGCTTTCTATCACTTGTTAAGTGTATTCAAAACCATTGTTTCCGAATTGAATTCAGTTCCTGGAAGAGTTGCTGAAGTAGTAAAGGAAAAAGTATACAACATTCTTTCAGAGAACCCAGGATATGAACAAATTTGTGAAATTGAAATTTTAGCCAGAAAAACATACTGAACTGCCAAGTAAAAAATCGCTAACAGTAGAACAAACAGTAACTTTTTTACATGAGCCCTAAGTTCCATTGAGATGGACATAAGCTTTTCCTGCTATGAGGACATCTTACAAGGCAATAGAAGGCGACTAACCATGGAAAACCTAAAATATTTAGTAACTGTGAACTGCAACAGAAGATAAGATGTAAACTTGGGGAGCTAAATGTGAGTACCATTGAACCGCTGGTTTTTTAACTTCTAACAAAAAAATGTTGGCTTCGTTACATGATTTGTATTTAAGTATAGCTTTTCATTGTAAGTAAATTATTCAATGTTAGCATAAAATTAATTTAAATGTCGATTTGTTGGTCTTGAAATTAAGTAAAATCAAATTTAATATTTGGAATGAACTTTTTGTGTGTGTATATTTTACGTATACATATTTAAGGGATCCCCCCTCCCCCCGCCCCTCCCACTGGCTCTACAGCGCTCTTGAGCTCTTGAGCCCCGGCCTCTAATTTTCAGTTTCATGTTCATTTTACAGACGGTAGGGCTCCTTGGACGGGTGATCAGCTCGTCGCAAGGACTGTACCTAAACAGAGGACAACATAAACACAAAATAAACACACACACACATACCAAACATCTATGCCTTGTGTGAGATTCGAACCCACAATCTCGAATTCCGAGCGAACGAAAATAGTACACGCCTACACTCTCGGCTGCTGTATTACTGCATAAAATGTTCGGACCCTAATGACTGCGATAAATGTGTCGTCTACGTGACCCCAAGGACGCCAAGGACCACCGATCCATTATTTAGTAATCCGTGGCCGTCGGCAAGGTGTCGCGGGTTTTTGGCGGTATTGAGTAGGGGTTATGAAAAGGCAGTGGGGTTTGGTTGTGTCAGTATTTAAGTTTGCAACGCGTAAAATTCCATAATCTACCATCAGTACTGCATGTGCTTACTTAAGCATGCCTCCGAAACATCGGAATCGAAAATGTTCCCTCAAGGACTCCAAATGCGGTGAAGGCGGTGCTGGCAAACTTCGCAACGTTTGTAAAACAAAATGCGGAGGCGATGATTTGAAAATAAAAGTGAGGAACAGATGCCAGCACAATATTGTAAATAGTTTGGAATGCGTTAAAAGAGGCTGCAAAGCGACAAACTTGTTGCATAAGGTGTGTTCTTTAGCCCGTTATGAAAGTACAGGAGGATTCGAATTTATTGTCGAGGTGTCTGTGGTCTATAATTTTCAAACCTTACGTGCCCCGAAAGGCACGCATGTTGGAGTTGTTTAGCATTCTGCAGTATTGATTCTATAATGAAACTTTTTGAGTTACACTTTAATATTCCATAAGCAGTTTTATTTTATTTTTTTCCGGTTTGAAAATTACAGCCCACGGAAACCGTAACAGTAATTTAGAATCACTCTGTACTTATGATTATGTTGGATTTCGATATACATAACCAATAAACTGCATTTTCATATGATGTTATTAAACTGGTTTGCAGAGTTTAACTCTTGAGTGGGGGTAGGTCAGTTGAAGCGAGTTTTTGGTATTAGAGTATGGAAGAGAATTTGCTGATTTAGGGTCTGTATCACTTTACAGCATGCTATCGTGAAGTGAATTCTGCTCCTGAGTGCTTACATCTTGTGGATATGGGCAGCATTGCCCATGGTGTAATCACCCACGAGTTGAATTAACATCAACAGTTAACTACTGGAAAAGCGAGAAGTTAGTAACATGCTCTATTCTGAATGAAAGGTGTTAGTGGTAACTCCAAGACAGACAGCTGACAAACAGTTGTATTCAGGATCACACAGTTGTAAGAGATTCAGGCTCCCATGACAGTTCTGCCCCAAAGTGGATCATGTTTCAGGAAGATGGCACCAGTTGATAGAGACTGCATTGTCATTGTTCTGGAGATTCTTATTATTTTCATCTTCAACCAAATGAACTGTATTGACAGGGAGGAAGAAGGGAGATGAATGAGACTGTGTGTCACAGTTCCCACTGAGATTGTCTGTGATAATACTTTTGTTGAATGAATGAAATTACAATCACTCAGCATCTACAGTGATCCAGTCATGGGGGGTTGTGGGTGGAAGCTGGACACACTGTAGATGAAGGGATGTGGAAGGCAATATAATTGAGAGCATACTGGTAGTCAGCCAGATAAGAAAGATGCATGAAAGAATGTTCATGGAGCAATACATGCTGCTTCAATTCAATGGAGTTATGAACCGGTGTAGACAGCTGAAAGTCTCAACTTAAAAAAGACAGGGACATTGAACCCATAGTGTCATTTGTTGTGCATTTTAGGATATCATCACTCTTCTCTATGTATTGCTATGTCTCTTCACAAGTGTAGGGTTTAATGGCATTGTTGTCAAACCATAAATAAACCATGAAAGCATCTGTATAGTATCTTTGCACACAAGGTGAGATAATGACTTAGGCTTACAAGCGAAGAGGTTCTGATTAGGCTGTTGACCCATAGCCAGTCTTGTTTCAAATTGCCCAAGCACATGTGGCAAGAGAATCTCATCCTTTGATTGAAATGGTATGTAATTAAAAGTTAATTTTTCTCCGTAACATGGTCCTCCTCATCCTTGTGTTCCTCCTTCTCAATCACGTAAAACTTGCTTGTACCATCTCCTTGTTATTTATTAATTCATCTTTCAGCATATTTCTCTTAAACTTTCTCAAATTGTTTTGCTTGTCTCCTGCTTTCACCTATGCATTTGAAAAACTCATCTCATTTGCTGTTAGTCCAGTGATACTGCTTGGTCTATGTTCATGTTTCTGGTCCATATTTAATATGAGCACCTAACTATCTAACTTCACGGAGCTGAGCTCTTCTTGAGAAGCCGCCATTTGTGTAGCTACTCAACAACTTCCCAACATTTTGTGGAACCAGAAGGTTCATTATTGTATTCACAGGAGCCTCCCATGGAACCTTATCCTGAGCCAGATCAATCCAGTCTTTACCACCTCATCCTGTCTCTCTAAGATCCATTTTAAAACTGTATTACTTCAAATATAAGATGCATATTTTACACATATTTTTTTCCCATTGAAAAATGAATATGTGTCTTAAATTTGAAGACTGTGTACTTTTTTAATTTTTGCCTAAAACCCACATTCAAAAACTGAAATTCGAAGGTATCATATTTTCAAAGTAATATGGTATTATCCACCCACCTACATCTTGATTTTCCTAGTGGTCTTCTTCCTTCTGGCTTTCCCACCAGTATTCCCTTTGTATTCCTGTGCTCTCCCCATGCCCTGCCCATCTCATCCTCTTTGACTTGATCATTCTAATTATACATGGCAAAGAGTACAAGTTATGAAGCTCCTTATTATGCAGTTTTCTCCAACCTCCTGTCACTTCATCTCTTTTCAGTCCGAATATTCTCAGCACCCTGTTCTCAAACACCCTCAGTTTATGTTCCTCCCTTAATGTCAGAGTCCAAGTTCCACACCCATACAGAACCACAGGCAACATTATAGTTTTGTATATCTTAACTGTAATATTTTTAGACAGTAGATGGGATGATGAAAGGTTCTGGACTGAATGGTAGCAAGCATTACCCAAATTCAGTCACCTCTTAATTTCCTCTTGAATCAAATTTTGATTTGTTACTGTCATTCCAAAGTATTTGAACTGTGCCACATTTTCAAAGGATCTATTAGCCATCCTAATGTCATGATTTTTCTCTGCATTCTGGTGACGAGACAGTAACATATACTTAGTTTTCTCTGCATTTACTTCAAGACCAACCTCCTTACTAGCATTAATTAAAGTTTTTGTGTTTTTAAATAAACATATTACTTCCATCTTTGGAATTTCATGCTTCCAAAGTGTATCCGTACAGTCCTGCTTCTGCTTCCTGCTACAGCCCAGTCATCTGTAATTTATGGATTCCAGGCCCTGCCTGCAAGCAACTTAGGATGTTAAACACAGGTGGAAGAATGTGATACTGTTGTCAGGTCTTCATTTCAGCTCCTGGCTTCAGAGCATCCACTTGCAATGTTTGCAGTGATTAGAGGACATAGTAGCATGTCCAGCAGCAGAAAGAATCGTGAAGTGATTCACTCACAAAGCAGGAAGTTTGCCAGTGTGCCTGGCACATACATGACTGTTGGCCAGTACTCTTTCAGGGTGGGCATTGCTGAGAACTGATGAGGGATTATATTTTTGCTTTCATCATTATTTTACTTCCTTGGTATTTAAACTTCTCCACTTCCTTTATCTTGATTATTACATTTTATTTTTTCCATGTCTCCTGTCTTTCTTTGCTACGAACTTTAATTTAATCACTGAAGACGAGATAATTAGTGCGATTAGTAAGCTCAAATCCAAAAACTCTTCAGAATATGATGGTATAACTAACAAATTAATAAAACTGTGTAGACAACAAATAAGTAAACCCTTAGTATATATAATTAATAACTTAATAACAATGGGCGTATATCCTGAAAGACTCAAATATGCAGTGATTAATCCGATACATAAAAAAGGAGACGAAACTATGATACATAATTGTAGACCAATATCAATAATAACTGGGTTTGCTAAAGTATTTGAAATGGTAATTTATAGAAGACTCAATGATCAGATNCGACTGTGTTGATCACGAACTCGGGGTAATGAAACTCCAGTATCATGGAGTTCAGGGCTCCTTCTTGCAATGGTTTAAATCATACTTTCAATATAGGAAACAAAGGGTTGGACCAAAGTATACCAATAAGAAATATTACTCTCATTGGGACCGAGTCCATTCGGGAGTGCTTCAGGGCTCGGTACTAGGACCTCTGCTATTTATATTTACATCGATTATTTTCCCCTCGAAATAAGTAAAACTTCAGAAGTCATCATGTTTGCAGATGACACAAGCGTCCTTTGTACATCCAAAGATTTCAACAATCTAAAAATAAAACTGGAAATTGTTTGTAGTCACATGAGTAGATGGCTTCAGGCCAATCTTCTTGCATTAAATCTTGACAAAACTAAAATGATAAAATTTACACCAACAGTAGCTACTGATTATCAGCTAAATACTTTGCTTCTTAATACAATGTTGAAAACAGCTGAATCGACAACTTTTTTGGGTTTTCAGCTTGATAATCATCTGACTTGCAAAGCACATATAGACCAGTTACTCCACAAGTTGAGCACAGTTGGATTTTTAATGTGAAAATTATTGTGTGTACTAAGCATAAATAAGTGGCCTCCATAGTCTAGGGGTAACGTTCCCACCTCATGACTCAAGGTACGCGGGTTCAAACCCGGCGGAGGTCGTGGAATTTTTAAAGGCAGAAAAATTCAGGGAACAATTCTCCGGGAGGGACTTTAAGCCGTGTGTCCCGTGTCATAGATTTACGGCACGTAAAAGAACCTCATGTCTCTAGGAGACCTCTGAGCTAAATTAGGCAAATTTTCCCGCCCAAATAGTTTCCAGTGCCTCCGGTAGATGGGGAAAGTATTAGGTACCACTGCCGGATGAGGATCGACCTCGCTGACAGAAAGGGACTAATTATCAGATACCACTCCCAGTAGAGGGCTGACCTCGCTGGCAGAAAGGGGCTGATAACAGGCACCAGTACCAGTAGGGTATGGGGACAGTAGAAATTAAAGGGGGATGCACAATGGACCAATAACTGGTCTAAGTGCATGGGGAAACCCACCTCCTCTAACAATGAATGAAAGAATGAAGCATAAATAACCTAAAATCTGTATACTATGCATATTTTCACTCTTTAGTGAAATATGGAATAATATCAATATTAGAGTCAATTTTACCGACCACACAACATATTTTTATTATTATTACACTACATGTTTCGACCTCAAGAGGTCATCCTCAGGTGTACGAACACAGCTGTATAATTACACGCAATCACATTCGTCTTCTCACTTATTCGATCCTGTATCTTATTCAGGCCCACGCTCAATAATATATCAAGCTCCTCTCACAAAACACAAGTTAAAATATTGTTCTAAATGTCAAAAGTTAAAATTTAAATTTAAAATTTAAAATTTGTGAATCGAATTTCAATTCAGATCACTAGTTATGCTTTCACTTTCACTTGTTATTCAGTCACTTCCTACTTACGTTCATCACTGCGTCAAGTTCACTTTAACTAGTTTAATTATATTATTGGTTAAAAGTTCATGAATTAAAGTTCAATTTTAATATATTGATTGCACTTTTTACTTTTTGGAGGTCTCGCTGTTCTTCTGCGTCCTCTGATGTTGCTGGATCTGTTACAGTCCTTGTTGTGATGGCTACTACATGTAGTGTAATAATAATAAAAAATATGTTGTGTGGTCGGTAAAATCGACTCTAATATTGATTAAATACACAACAGGATGCAAGAAACAGTTAAAGTTATGGAATAATAAACTGGGGTAATACTCCTGATTGTCATAAGGTTTTTCTTATGCAAAAGAAAATAAATAAGAATAATGATGGGAGTGGGACCAACCCACACTTGTTGTGACCTGTTTAAGAAGCTGGGAATATTGCCAATTCCCTGTGTATATTTGCTTTCACTTATGACATATGCTGTCAACAACTACGACAGGTTTTTGAAAAATAACTGTATATGATTGGTACTAGGAATAATGATCATCTTCATCTTATCAGAGGGGTGTATATTACTCAGGTATCAAGCTATTTAATGTATTGCCTAACAGTATCATAATTTTGAGAACAGACAAAAATCAATTTAGGAAGGCTTTATTAAGATATCTGCTGAGAAATTCATTTTACTCTATCGATGAATTTATAGAGCATACAAGAGTTACAAAGATAGAAGATAAATAAATAGTATGAGTAAACATATTGTAAGTTACTCCCTTTGGTTGGGTTTAATAGTGGCTGTACTGATTAATTTAACACTTGACAATTCTAGTCAGTTAAGGCTGAGAATGGACTTAACATGTATGCATTTTTCTAAATGGAAAAATTAGACTGACAACTTGTGCTCTTTGTATGAGGCTCTATTTACCTTATATATATTTTATATTTTAATTGTATATGTTATATTTAATATTGTATATTTATATTTATTGCATGTGATCTTTTATGTAAGACTTTGTATGTGACAAATTTTATATCCAGCCCTACTGGGTAACAACTGGATCTATGAAATGTAATTACAAATAAAAAATAAAAAAAAAGAACTTGTCCTTGATGATGTTTTCCCACATACTCATACTTCTTCACTGTTAGTAAAGTATTTATTAAACAGCTTCCATTGTTGGTTCTAAAGGGTTCTGACAATAGTGTATAACACTCAGAATTACTGGGTTTTTTGGACTTTTTCCATCATCCAGTATTCTAGAAAACAGAAAACATGACATTTCGGAAACTGGATCTGTTTACATCCTCGAGTAAAGGGGGGGGCACCTACTCAGTGATTGAGGTTAGCATTTTCTAAGGGACCCAAATGAGTAGGTGTTTCCCCCCCCCCACCCCCCTCACTTGAGGATGGAAACAGATCCAGTATCCAAAATGTCACATTTTCTATTTTTTAGAATACCAGCCAATGCTAAAAGTCCAAAAACCCAGTAAATCTGACCTTCCATTATTCTTTGACTGATCCAGTTTCATTGTTTCGTTTTATCTTCTGGAATTCTCCATTTCACTATTGTATAATTAAATATCTTGTTCATAGACTTTATCCCTGTAGTGTCTTCATTTTCTTAATATTTATAAAATATACCAAAAGTTGGTGCTCACTGCCAGCTTTAACACTATTTTAACATGTAAAAAGGATGTAAACTCCTTTGTCATAATTATATAATGAGAGATGTTTCTCCATTTACCATCCCAACTATATTTCCTTATGTTATGATATGACTTTTCATGTCTGTTTCTAAGTACACCATAATTTTTTATTCAGGCAGGTCGTGATGTACTGATTGAGAACATATCATTATTTTCTTTGTATAAGAGTATTTCTCCATTTGATCGCCGTATCACAGTCATTGAATGGCATCCAAAATATCCGGAAGTGTTAGCAGCAGCATCAAAAGGTGGAGATATTCTCGTATGGAACTATGGAACAACTGTAGCTCAGCAACTGATGATAAGAGGAGTAAGTTTTTGCACACTTGACTGTCTGGAATAGTTGATGTCATTATGCATTATATATGGCTGTCAGTTAACTAGTGGTACAGTAGAATGCCAATTATTTGAATTAATTAGTGACAAAAATGATTCAGATAATCAGAAATTTGGGTAATTGGTTTAAATTCTTATCCACGAAAAAACACTATGATACTACTATAATGTACTATACAGTTATAATAATAACAACAAAGAAAAGTTTTAAAACAGGTGGAACATGAAAAATTAATAAATGTAATTATAAATTAACATTCTCAAACACTTTTTTTTAAAAAGTCCAACAATGATATTTGTTTAGCAGATTCATATTTTGGTTGTGGTGATTTGGTTTATAGACAGTTCAAATAAATGTGATTTGTATAATCAGTGTTCTACTGTATTTAACACTTAGCCCCCCTCACACACACATGCATATATATATATATATGATGATTAGTGAATAATGTATTGGAAAGTAATTGTGGAAGAAAGTGGTATGTATATATATATATATACGAGGGGGTACCCAAAAGAAACCGAACTTATTTTTTTTTTTTAAACTTATTTATTCAAATTTTAAGCACAAACCTTCAATCCCCTTCAAAGTACTGTCCATTTACACTAATACACTTGTCTAGTCTTTTATTCCATTTTTCAAAACATTGTCTAAATTCATCTTTTGAGATGCTTGACAGCGCCTACGTTGTTTTTTTCCTTCACCTCAGCAACATCAGCAAAACGCTGAAAAAAAGTTTTGATCATTTCGGGACCCTTCTTTCAAAGCACAGCATGCTTCCACGCGACCTTGNTTGTGATACAGACAGGGCTGTGTGAGCAGGGGCTTTGTCATGATGGAAAAACCAGTCACCCGACTGCCACAAATCTGGCCGCTGAGCTCCAAGTCACTCCCGACAGCTCCACAATTTCTTCAATGGTCCGTCGTCGATCTTCCTTGATGATTTCACGAATTTTTTCAACATTTTCATGTGTTCGGGCCGTGGAAGGACGACCAGAACGAGGTTTGTCATCAATTGACATTTCACCATTTTTGAAACGGGAAAACCACTCAAACACTTGAGTTTTCCCCATAGCATCGTCCTTGTACACCGTTTTTAACATTTCAAGAGTTTCTGTTCCACTTTTCCCGAGCAAAAAGCAGAATTTCACCGCCGCAAGCTGTTCACGAAAATCAGCCATTGCAAAAATGACGATCACACAAAACAGTTGTCACTATAAACTCTGCTGAAACTAGTCCTTACCTTCTGAAGCAACGGTAGTTGGCTTATCGACTCAGGAATGTTAGCTCTATGCGCTCATAGTGGCAAAACACGGTACTACAAAAGCTCTGCCCACAAAAAAATTAGTTCGGTTTCTTTTGGGTACCCCATCGTATATGAGGCCTACCTGCCTGGCTTGATGGCACCTGATGTTTTATTCTGCTGGGGAGAGCCACCAACCATTTAACTGTCCAACTGACATTTCCTATATTGTTGCATATTGATTCATTGCTGCAGAAATATGTTTACCACCACATTGCACAGCAGTGGTCGCCTCTTCTTGTTCCAATATTCTGGCTTTCAGCCATCATCTCACTACATTTCAAACAGTAGGAAGTTATCATCAGGCTATACACATACCATGCATTTCAACAAACATTTGCTATATTCTTATCATACATTGAAGTTTGCTAGTGGGTTTATTATCTTTATTAATTTCATTTAAACATAATTACTTTAAATATGAACATAAAATTATAAAATATACCTAGTTACATGGTTCTGCATGGGCGTGAAACTTGGTCTCTGACTTTAAGAGTGGAACATAGACTGAGGGTGTTTAAGAACAGGGTGCTGAGGAGAATATTTGGATCGAAGAGAGATGAAGTGACAGGAGGTTCGAGAAAACTGTACAATGAGGAGCTTCAAAACTTGTACTCTTCTCCAAGTATAATTAGAATGATCAAGGCAAAGAGGATCAGTTGGGCAGGGCATGTAACATGAATGGGGGAGAGGAAGAATGTGTACGGGATATTGGTGAGAAAGCTGGAAGGAAGCAGACCACTGGAAAGACCAAGACTTAGGTGGATGGACAGTATTAAAGTGGATCTTAGAGAGAAAGGATGGGATGATATAAATTGGATTGATGTGGCTCAGGATAGGGACCAGTGGAGGTCTCTTGTGAACATGGTAATGAACCTTCAGGTTCCATAAAATGCTGGGAAGTTCTTGAGTAGCTGCACAATTGGTAGCTTCTCAAGAAGGGCTTAGCTCCATGAGTGAATGAATGTTAGACAAGAAGGTATTTGAGAATAAGACATTGAATGAAACTTAGAATTTGTTCTTCTTTTGAAGTATCAAATTTTCTCATTCACAGATGAATTTCTGAAGTTCATTATGTTGGGTGATCATGAATTAAGGATTATTGGTTGGCAGGGTTTTGAAAGAAGTTGAGAATATAGGGCTTATGTGATGTTCAGCCTCTGAAACTTTGTAAGCTGAAATATTTTGTGTATATTTTAGAAGGGAGCTGGTGGATCAGTGCAGGGCGTCAAGTTTCACCCACAGAAGGAAATGGAGATGTATACCATAGCAATGGATGGCACTCTTTGTGCTTGGAACTACCTACATAAAACCTGCAAGATATTCCTTCAAATAAATGATTATAGGTAACTATTAGTGATGTAGCATTCATGGGTGTTATGCTTTTGATCTCATATTATCAAATATTGCCTTCTGGGTGGAGATATGGTATCATAACCGAGAAGACTAAAATGTGAATACTAATTTAGAGATACATTTGAAAATCAAAGTAATCATTGTTCTCTATTTAGGTTTGTAAGTAGGTGTTTTTGTATACATGTGTTTAAAATATTCATCTTTGTCTTCAGGAATGTGATCTTACATAGTTTGGTAGGCAGGTACAAAGCTAAACGTCCCAGATTCCAGAAGACAATACTCATAGACACTGCTATGAGAACCTGAAATACCACAATCCGTCTTTGTGTTATTTATACTCCAACTGGGTCCACTTGGTACAGCGGCCACTGATTGGCCTATTGTAGCCTGCCCCAGGTGATTATGATAAAGAATTTGGTGGAATGAAGATTGGCAAGGGAAACCGAAGTACTCAGAGAAAACCCGCCCCAGCGCCACTTTGTCCACCACAAATCCCACTTACCCAGACCGGGGATCGAACCTGGGCCGCCGCAGTGGTAAGCCAGCGACTAACCGCTTGAGCTATGGCGCAGTCTTACTCAAATCATTAAATTTCTGAAAAAAGATAAAAATATTGGATCACATTAAGTTCTGAAACATTTTTCAGTTTGATTTATATTTCATGAGACAAACATGAACGGTTATTTAGACTTCAAGTGAAATGGTTGCCCTGATAACCATATTGGTCCATAGACCATAAAGTCCATCATCAGAGAACTGATACCAGATCACAATGAGGTGGACATGCAGTTGGTTATGTTCTCTTGGCACATTCGTCCTCCATTTCAAACAGTGTCACCAGAGCTCTTATCACCATTTTGCACACCCTTATATGTTAAGATAAACCAATGGATTTCATACTTTCCCAGATTATACTCTGTTCTCTCCTATAGTGTCATTGTCACATTAAATGAACATTGATTTTGTTTTACAGTAAATGGTACACAGGTCTTGATGTTTGCTTCTCGGGTGGCCACTTGGTTGCAGGTGATAATTGTGGTTTTCTCACTGTGCTTTCATTAGATGGACGGAAGATGTGGGAAGGAAGATTACACAAGAATAAGATTACTCATGCTGAGTACCATCCTAGGTAGGAATAACTGTTGAACAAACCCGATTCATGTCATTCTGATAAATTGGGTGCAGTTAGTTTTAATTTCAGAAGAATCTTGTGTAATAAAGGGGGCATGCGGTAGCATAGTTGGTTGAGGGGCTATGCTACATGCCAGAAGGTTGCGGGTTCAAGTCCTGATGAGGTCATTGGATTTTTTTCAATTGACCTAATCCTTCCAGCTGCATTATGGCCCTGGGGTTGACTCAGCCTCTAACAGAAATGAGTACCAGGAATTAATTAAATAATTTTCCTGGGGAGTAAAGTGTGTCCGGCGCGTAAGTCTGACAACTTTACCACCGTCTTTGAGCTGACTGTCTAGAGAATATGAGACCCTCAACGTCTCACAACCCTATGGGCCTTCATGGCCTGGTACAGGGATAGCTTTACTTTTTTTTACTTCTGTAATAAAACAGGTTTTTGCTTATTTGCTTTACCCATTTCAACCAAATTTGAAGTAAGCTGATTCTTGCCCATTCATTACAGGCTGTTGCAGTCATACATAACTTTTGTTTTCACAGTTGTGCAAGCTTCCTTCTTTTAAGGTTGTAGTAGGATCTGCAGTGTCCTAAACCTGTGGCACCCAAATATTATCATTCTGTGAAATGCTTAGTTGAAAACCCACAATACACAAACCCCATTTTAAAATTATGTTCTTGAAAATGTTTTTGTTACAAGGACAAAATTATATCCTAAGAAACATATGTAGCTGAATCTGTACAGATCTCTTTCCTTCTTAAAACAAAAGTACCTATAATACTAGATGTTACAATAAATTGTGAACTGAATTTTTAGCATACTGTTTGAGAGTTTGTCTGTCAGTCTTTGTGTATCTCATTTGAACTTTTGAATCATTTGACCGATTTTCACAAAATTTTGTATGGACATTATGCCGTTAGATGCCACCCCATTGTCAGATTTCTTAATTTCATGCTGTCAGTAGTAAACTTCGTTAACACACAGACTTGTAAGGTTGAGTTACATTAATATCCCTTAATTACAGGGTTCTGAAATGAAGTATGGCAATAGATCTTAAAAAAAATATGACTTTTGTTTAGCTGATATCTTTATAATGGGAGATAACATAGACTCTATAGAGAAAACCACAGAAACTCAAAATTTATACTAGTAAGAGGTTGGTTTAGAAGAAAATGCAAAGAAAACTGAGTACATGTCGATATCACATCACCATTATGCAGGGCAAAATGAAAACATAAAGATAGCTAATAGACCATTTGAAAATGTGGCACAGTTGAACTGTTGGGTAATGACAGTAACATATCGAAATTGGATTCTGGAGGAAATTAAGAGAAGATTGAATTTGGGTAATCCTTGCTACCATTCAGTCCAGAACCTTTTGTCTTTTCATCTGTTGTCCAAACCCATACAAATCAGAATATACAGAACTATAATTTTGCCTGTGGTTCTGTATGGGTGTGAGACTTGGTATCTTTTATTAAGGGAGGAACATAAACTGAGGGTGTTTGGTAACAGGGTGCTGAGGAGAATATTTGGACTGAAGAGGGATGAAGTGATAGGAAGTTGGAGGTAAGTGTATAATGTATAATTTGCCAAGTATGGTTAGAATGATCAAGTAAAAGAGGGTGAGACTGGCAGGGCATATAGCATGCATGGAGGAGAAGAGAAATGTGTAGAAGTTTTTGGTGGGAAAGCCAGAAGGAAACAGACCTAGACATAGGTGGGAATATTATGTTGTGGCATGCAGACCCATTGCCAGGCAACGACTATGAAGTAAGCAGCTATGCAATGGCCAATACTAGGCAGTAGCCTGTAAACACCAACAGAGGAATGGTATTTTCTGGGCTGTCTGTGCTGAGATGTTATAAACAGGACAAGTTAGGAACGGGTGGGGAAGATTGCAGTAACTCCTAGAGTGTGTAGATTAGCTAATAAGTGATAGTTTTATAGCAGTTGTAGTTGATGTGAATCATTAGCACCTCACAAAAATGAAGCCCGTCGCACAGAAGACACCAAATAGGTGGGAGCCTGAAGTTGGTTTAGTTTGAGAGAGATGGCTCTTGCCACATTAACACGGTGTGAGACATGCTGGTGGGTCACACTTCCCTTGTTTGATGAGAGATGTGAAAAAGTAACAGTGGACCATCTGGATGTGAAGAAGAAAGTGGATCTAGTGCAAGCTTCTGTAAGTGAAATAGGTCGGCTTGTTCAAAATTTGCCCAAAGTGAATGGCAATGGTGCTAAGTGGAAACAACTAGCAGACAGAGCTGAAGCTGACAGTCGCAGCTTCTGTAAGTTTATAATTGGACAGGTGCTATATACCAGTCTATTTCACATGTATGCAGGAGCATACAGGGAAATGAGGGACAGCCTTCACCTGAACAGTGTGGAATTGGGACAGGAAGATGCTTCACAAGCAGAACAAAACAAACACCAAAAGAAAGACAAAAACTCTGGAGCTGAGTGCTGCACCAAGAAACAGAAGAGGCCACCTCCAACTTACCAAAATCCACAGCCGATATCAACAAAAAACTTCTTTGCGTCACTCAGGGACTTGCCCATGGAAGATGCAGAGACAGGTAGCTAAGGAAACTACCAGAACACCTCAAACAAATGACAGTACAGGTGAAGGTAGGTCAACTCTCGTCATATTAATATCAGAGGCAAACTTAATTAACTAAGAAGTGTCATGAGTAGGGAGATCTTCTGGAACACTGCAACCAGAATCTGAATAACAGCTAAAAGTATGGTGGACTACAATGCCATACAAAAATTCTTCACTGAGAAAAATCTCCACTACTGTACATTTTACACAAAGGCAGGTAAACTGGTTAAAGCCATTATCAGGCATTTGCCACCAATACCTCTGAAGAGGACATCACTGTGGCCCTCGAGGAGATAGACTAAGATGTCATCAGTGTAAAACAGATGACTGCCAAATGTCCCACTCCAGAAGGAGGGGTCACACATGTCCCTCCCCCTCTTCCTAGTTACTCTAGCAAGGAATCAGAAAGCTCAAGAAATCTTCAAATTGACAACACTCTGTGATATAGTTATAAAGGTTGAAGCTTGTAAAGCCAAAAATAGGCTTACACAATGGTACAGTTGTCAGCGCTTTGGCCACATCTGAGTACACTGCAGGCAGCTTTGCTTCCTGTGGCGTGGGGTTGGTCATCACCATCTTGGGTGCTCAGAGAAACAGAAGTCAGAGATTGTCGCAACCTGCTATAGATACAACCTGCAAGAGGGGGAATTGCCGCAACAAGCAAGTTACAGAACTTGCAGTCATTTCCAGGAATTACAGCGCAGTAAGAACCTGCGGGCAACAACACAGTGTCAGCAGGGAGGACATTCTTCTCGAACACAACATATCTCCTGCAAAGTGTGATACAGAAATTGTACATAATTACGTATTTCATCTTAAGTTAGAACTGCAAACTTTTATAGTGGTGAGACTGAGTCCACTTGGTACTGCGGCCACTACTGACCTATTGTGCCAGCCCCGAATGATAGATGATGTGATTGTGGAACAGTTGGTGGAATGAAGATAGACAGGGAAACCAAAGTACTTGGAGAAGACCTTCCCCAGTATCACTTTGTCCACTACAAATCCCACATGATGAGACCCAGGCTAGAACCTAGGCCGCTGTGGTGGGAAGCCGACGACTAACCCCCTCAAACTTTTGTAACTGAATAAATTTATGTTAATAAATCTCATCAAAACGATTCTGCCTGTGTTATGAATGTGTGTATGGACCTGTGTCTTTGAAAAACTCCTGAGTATCTAAGTTACAGCCTGTCAGTATGACCAAAGAGGAGTCATGTGCCTGCCTGAACTGAACCACATCATACCCCTCTGTTAAGTAGTACCAATTCCCAAATCTGAGTTCCCTATCTAAGAATTCCTATTGGTGCCCCATTAAGACCCAATAGTTAGTTCGTGGTCTTAACAGCAACAGTAATAAATCCTGGTAAACCAGTCCATCTTCCACATGCCATTCCATATTCCCAACCCATCATTACTTACATCAGTAAACTGGCAAGAATATTACAGGAGTAGTGCTGCAGCAATGTTTTGTCTGGGTCAGATAGTTAGAAGCCATTATCAGTTTCTAGAAAATACTGCCTGTACAGTTGGTTTAATATAACCATGATGTGTTCTCTTGTATGATACTGTAACTTATGGCTATAGTCATCACATTTTTATGCACCAGGCACTGGTGAGAATGAGCATTTTTGTTTGCAGGGAGACATGGCTTCTAACCACAGCTTCTATTGACCGGACTGTGAAAATGTGGGACATGCGGTTTTTGAAAGGAAGAGATAGTGTGCTGACTGTTTTGAACCATGACCAAGCTGTGAACTCTGCATATTTCAGGTGAATTTGTTTTGTCCTGTGTATTATTGAAATGTTTATTAGTGGCAGATGCTTTCAGTTATGAACTTATTGACACTCCTGTTCCATGTCTGGAAAACATTAATTACACTTCTGGAGAGACAGATGTGAAAAAGTAGTAGGACTGCAAGAATGATGTCTGACAGATGGGATCATGGGGTTGAGACCGTGATTTTCCCATCTCTTGTAGTAAGTATAACTATTTAATTTTTAGACCATTTATCTTATTTCATTGTATAAAGAAAGCTATGCTTATGATATTGTGACGAATATGATCATTTGCTAGGCAACGGCTAGGTATGCACGGCCTAAAAAAACCGGAATGATAGCAGAAACATATATGACCATTTGCTAGGTAACAAAGCACAATAGATCACTGTAGGTCACGGTGCAAGGGCCGAGAAGGCCCACCCCTTATACATTCATACATTCATTTGCTAGGTAAGAACTAGGTAAACACTTGTTCCTCCAGCAGCGAATATTAACAATATTCCTTCAATATAATCATCCCCCCCCTGTGTACCACCACCTGCCAAATTTGTGGAAGGCATCGTACACCATCAGCCCGTCCACTTCTGTTGATGTCCAGCAGTGACCACCCTACAGCACGAATCATCTCCTCTCTTGTGTTGTAACATGTCCCTTGCAGTGGTTCGTTCATTTTGGCAAAGAGATCATAAACGCACGGACTCATATTGGATGAGTATGGCGGATGTTGCAGTATCTCCCATCGCCAGCAGTGAAGGAGATCCTTGACAGCGTCAGTGGTATGAGCCCTTGCATGAAGGATGATGGGGTTTGTTGCCAACAAGTGTCGTCGCTTTTGCCTGAGTGCTCGACGAAGATGATTACGCAGGAAACTCCAGTAGCAGGCAATGTTCACTGTCTGTTGTTGAGGTACAGTGTGGTGCAGTATTACTCCATCAATGTCATATGCCAGAATGAACATTGCCGTCACATTACTCTGTGTAGGGCGCACGTTCTTTGTACGAGGAGAGCCAGGATGCTTCTATTCATTTGATTGTCGCTTCAAGTGCAGTTCGTATGAGCGAGCCCAAGTTTCGTCTAAGTGATGATCCTTCCAAGGAAGTCATCACCTTCCTTCTGGTACCGATCCAAAAAGTCCTGTGCAATTGCATAATGTTGCCATTGTTGCACCTCGGACATTGTATGGGGTACCCAGCGCGACGCAGTATTGCAGTATCCAAGAATGTGGAGCTCGGTTTTGTGACATACGCCTACCTCAGCAGCTAACTCCCCCGCAGCCCATTGACGATCGACATCCAGCAAAGAAGCAAGAAGCCGAATTGTGTGGTTGTCAACATGGGGTCATCCTGAATGGTATCCCTCCCTTCACAGAACAATTTCACCCATCGTGCCACTGTGTGATATGGCAAAGCAGCATTACCACATGCTTTTTGCAGTCCCTGATAACAGTTTTGTGCACTACGACCTCGCGCAACTTCAATTTTTATCCAGGAGCATTGTTCTTGTTTCGTAAACATGTTGTTAGTGTGCTTGAACTAGGCTCCTGCACTTCAAGACGATGCACAATGCAACTCAATGAAACATAACCAGACCACTCACTGCACTATTTCAACTGAACTTCTGCTATCAGCTACAGATGGCGCTTGTGCCACCTGACGCACATCTTTCATGTTACAGCAGTGTTGCCACTACTTTTTATCCAACCCTTGTATATATATGACATGGGGGCCCACAGTAGCATAGTTAGTTGCACAATGCTACAAGCTGGAAAGTCAGGTTTGAGCCCTGATAAGGTGGAATTTTTCAGTTCACCTAATCCTTCCAGCTGCACTGTGGCCCTGGGGTTGACTCAGTCTCTAGCAGAAATGAGTACCAGGAATCTTCCTGGGGGGGTAAAGGGTGGCCGGCTCATAAGGCTGACAGCCTTACCGCCATCTGTGAGCTGATTGTCTAGACAAAATTTGAGATCCTCAGCGTCTTACAACCCAATGGACCTTCACAGCCTGTTACAGGGATAGCTTAACCTTTATATATATATATATATATATATATATATATGTGAGACATCTTCCATTCCTTGGTATACTCTTTTTTAAACATTGTTAATGTGTTAGAAACTGTATCAGTCTGTTTCATCCATATTTTAATAGTTCAATTTTTATTCTCCTGATGCTGTTGTTTTTCTCATTGTAGTAATCTTGAGTGACGCTTTTCCACTCAGTATTAATTTCCTCATTTTCCATTCCTGCTTCTATAAAAATGGATCATGGAAAAATAAGGTGAAGACATGCATACAGGACTGAAATGACTTCAGATAAAATCCAATACTGGATTTTTTTGGATGGAGGGGATGATCAGGCTCAAATCCAGGAATTTCTTGTAGGATTTGAAGTTCTCACAGTGGTGGTTATGGAGAGTTCTGTCTCCTGGGATATAACGCCATACAATCCATTGAAAGCTGACTGACATTTTGGAGGAACATATTGTCTCCTTCTTCAGGATCAAAGAATAAGCCAAAGCAAAACACCAGCATGAAAGCAGGTGACAAGCAGAGCTCTGCCTCTGGCTTATTCTTCGAAGCTAAGATATTGAATTTAAGAATGCGTTAGTCTATACATCCACACCCCTCTATGTCTTAATGGTGTAGTACTTAATTAAGCCCAAGGACAACTTTACTTCTACAGTGGTGACCATGCCAGTTTCTGAAATTGGAATGGCACAGGCATCACTTATGTTAGGCCCTGAAGTTTTGTGGCAGGAGCTCTTCAGGCATGCAGCTTCTTTTAAGGCCAACGTTTTGTATATTGTATGTCACACCCACATGAATCCCTTTCAATTTTGTAGTAGTAACTGAAGAATGTTCTGAAATTTGATAGGGACACTGTAAACATACAAGAACACATCGTAAAATAAATTACAACAATTACAACAGTTAGTAGCTGCCAATTGTGCAGCTACTAAAGAACTTCCCCACATTTTATGGAACCTGAAAGTTCATTACCATGTTCACAAGAGCCCTGCACTGGTCTCTATCCTGAGCAAGATCAGTCCAATCCATACCATCCCATCCTCTCTCTCTAAGAGCCATTTTAATATTGTCCACCCACCTACATCTTGGCCTTCCCAGTGGTCTCCTTCCTTCCAGCTTTCCCACCAATATCCTATATGCATTCCTTCTCGCCCCCATTCGTGCCAAATGCCCTGCCGATTTCATCCTCCTTGACTTGATCATTCTAATTGTACTTGGAGAAAAGTACAAATTATGAAGCTCCTCATTATGCAGTTTATATGAATTCTAGATAGATTAAATATTTTAAAGAATTTCGTTTCAGAAGTGCCCTTACGGAAAACAACCTTGTCATATTACTTTCTAAAAAATAATTTAACAAAATGCATTAAAAGTGAATATAACTTGTGCCCAACTGGCTAATACTTAATAACCAAAATTAGTTATGCTGGATCAGAAAACTTTCTGGCTTTTGATATTTACATTTTCATTATTAGATAAAAGTTATATGGTCCTATAAAAACGTGCCAAATAATGTGATAATTTCCTAATGTAGATGACAGTTCGCGCATTAACATTACAATCAGCTTTGGCCAAGCAATAATTATGTGCAGCTGTAAAGGTTTTTAAATATGTCATAGACAGTTACATTCTAATAGGCCGCACCATAGCTCAAGCAGTTGGTCACTGGCTTCTCACGCGGCGGCACGGGTTCGAACCCCGGTCTGGTCAAGTGGGATTTGTGGTGGACAAAGTGGCGCTGGGGCAGTTTTTCTCCTAGTACTTTGGTTTCCCCTGCCAATCTTCATTCCACCAAATGTTCCACAATCACCCTCACCTTTCATCTGGGGCTGGTACAATTGGCCAGAAGTGGCCGCAGTACAAGGGTCTTACCCCCACCCCACTAGTCATAAAATAAAAAAAAAATACATGCCAGTAGTGCAGAAGTGTGTAGGTTGTAGTTCACGGATGGGTTGGAGGTACAAACCGACATGTAAATTCGGAATAATCATTCAAGTGATGGAGAAGTTACGTTAATGTGGTATTTTTATGGGTTATGTTGTACACTTCATCGCTCTTCACGCAGTATTTTTAGTGGATTCTTGTAAGCCAGTGCTTCACTTTTCTCGTGTGCACATTTTTTTCTTCAAGAGTGTAATACGGTGAATGCATAACTGCAAGTTCTGTGGAATTATATATAACGTATATATATGTTGATGCATGGTTTGCAGTATGAAAATATGAATATGCGTGAACGAACTCGTCACAGCTTTCATACCGTTTCATACGCTTTAGTATTTGAAAATGGCCGACGTAATTGAGTTGCGTATGAATGTAGCAGCGTTAAAAAGGGTCGATCCGTATGTAAAAGACATCCTTGAAACCGCAACACATGTTGCTTTATATACATTTAATGCAGATGATAACGAGTGGGAGAAAACTGATGTTGAAGGTGCCTTGTTTGTTTATAGTAGAAGTGGGGAACCGTATCACAGTATTCTTATTATGAACAGACTCAATACAAATAATCTGGTTGAACCCGTTATTCAAGGACTAGATCTACAATTACAAGAACCTTTTCTTTTATATCGGAATGCAAGCTGTCGTATTTTCGGTGTTTGGTTTTACGATAAAGACGAATGTATTCGTATCGCGGCAGTGCTTGATAAACTCGTTAAAGAATCCGAAATGAGCAAAAAATTTCCAGACAAAGTTCCTGTTAAAAACAAATGTAGTGGTGATACAAATGTGGACATATTCACAATGCTCAGCAGAGCTCAGGAGGATTACAATTCCAACAAGAACCAAGCAAATATGAAGCATGCTTCAGCAGAAGAGTCAAAACCAGAGATGCCACAGGGTGTTGTGGATTTTTTTGCTAAAGCTAGCAGTGGAACATCTCATTTTTCTTCTGATAAGGTATCTCAACCAGCAGGTATATATGTTGGTCATCACCAGTCGAGAGCATCAGGTACAGAACTTCCTGGTGACTCAAGTGATGGTCAGCTGAAACCTCTCTTGCAGCACCTGATTCCAAATCCAGTACATACTGTGGAACAAATTGAAAAGCAACAGAGATCTGTGACTCCACAGACAGATGCTGTGTCAGCCAAGAGAAGTAAAGGGAAAACACTATCCTGTAAAGACAGCAGCAGTGGAAACTTACAAACAAGGCCAGTGTCCTCTGGCAGTGTGACAGATGGTATAAAATTACAGCTTGGCAGTGTACTTGTGACACAGTCAAGTTCCAGTACGTCATCGGGGTTGCTAGAGAATAGAATGAGTTTCCTCCGCATTGCATCTCCAACTACAACATGCCCGCAACTCACCCAATTTTTTGGAACTGGATTTCAGAGTGTTTCATCAAGTGGAAAGCTGATGGATGTTATCACACCTGATCAGCGACCATTATCAGCACCACTGTGCAGTGGAATGGAGACACCACAGAGACCAGCACTAATGCCACCTACCATGTTCACCTCATCATCTCAGAAAGATGCATCTAACAAACTAGAAGCTGGTAACAGTACGGTTCAGGTGCATAATTCAGATGTGGCTTCAGTGAAACTGAGATCAGAACTACCAGTATCAACCCTGGCAACTGGCACGAGTGGTACAGTTTTGCTGGATGATAGTGTAACACCAGTGAGGCCTGAACCTTTAACCAGAAACCAGCTTCTTCAAGCATTCAATTACCTTGTGAAGAATGATCCTGAGTTTGTTAACAAACTTCATGAAGCATATGTTAAATCATTTGCAGAAATGGTCTTGTAGACAAGTAGGTGATGTGTTTTCTTATGTACAGCAGTAAAGTAACCTTATATTATGTTGTGCTGATTTGAAAAGAAATTATGTGAATCTGCTGGTCTTGCATATTTTCAGGTAGTGTCATAAGTCGTTAGTAAATCCAAAGAAGTACAGTTTATGTGGAATTTGAGGTTCTCACAGCAGTGAGTATGAAGAGGTCATTGATACAGTGCCATATAGTTTGTTGAAAGTCAGTTAATGTTTCGGAGGAACATGTCATTGGCACATGTTCCTCCAAAACATCATTTGACTTTTTACTTACTACAGGACATTATATCGGAGAATACAATTGAAACACTTTAAAAGAGATGTACTTATTGTGGTGAGTTTGCACAATCTTGACATGGAGCTATATTGAATAAAATGATGTTATACTTTTTGACTTGTAAATAATTCCACTTTAATGCATTGGGTTTAAATTTCTCTGTCCAGTAGCATGTCAGTACAAGAGTTTGAAGTAACTCACTATATCTTGACTGCAGTGTTTATATTGCTGGTCTGGTCTATATTATTTGTTTTGCAGTGAACTATATTACAAAAACTTTATACAACTGGAGTATGTATATATACATGCACTCCTAGAGAAACAAAATATACCAGTAATCTATGTATTATGCAAGAAATTAGTACAGTGACAGTTGACAATGTTGCTTTATTGTGAATAATTGTGATACTCTTTCTTTTATTTAAACATAAATTTGAATATGGACCATTTTAATTTATAAACCAAATATTACTGAAAATGTAATTGCTAGTGATTATTTTTCATTACAGATTTATTTTTGTCAGTAACACTGTTGCCCTAAATAAAAAAAATCTTTCAAATAAGTGTTGGGTGTTTTCATAGTGTCCTGTAATAGGGGTCATCTGATGCTGGTGCACAAAAGGCACATACGTCACTCCTTGTAAACTATAATAAACTTACTGATATTTTGTGCAGTTTTTGTAGTTATTTTTTCTTTGTCTTTCATTTGAGTGGTAATACAACATAAATACACTGTAGAAGTTTGTGTGTTATGACAGAGTTTCACTGAGAGCATAGCTCCAAATTGTTGAACCTAACGTGTGGAAGAGTCTGACACATCAGGTTGAACCTGCTGAAATTCAGACTGGTGAAATGTAAATCTGCACCCTGAGCACATAAATACAAATAAAGCATAGCCAGATTACAGCATATGTTGCAGATATTTTCATGCTGTGGGAAGATAACATTCATGCATTAAATTTCTTGAGAAATAAAGAAAAATTCCCTTCATGTATTCTCTTTCAGTTCTTCAGTTTGGTTGAATGGGATAAGGATCTATCCTAACTGAAAGAAGTTGTAAGAAAAGTAGTGTTCTGTGAGATATGATGTTTTTCAAAATGTATGAAAGTTACAAGTGGAAAGTACTAAATGATTAAAATTCTTAACAGATGATCAGTACAGTACATAATGTACTTGATAGCATCAGTTACATTATTGCCTTCATTTAGTCCAGTTATAAAGAATGTTGTAGCTCCATAATTTATGTATTCGAGATTCTCATAGCAGTGACTGTAAAGAGTTCTGTCTTCTGGAATATGCTATGTAGTTCCATGAAAATCAACTAATCTTTTGGAAGATCATACAGCCTCAGTTGTGAGGGTTGAAGAGTAAACAAGCAAGAAGCAAACAGAACAAACCATGCACAGGATTGATACAGGTTAGGGGGGGATCTAGCAAGCCAACAAGTCAACACCCATTGGCTCTTACTGAAGAACGGAATAAACCAATGATGGAGGCAAAACGTTTCTCTGATATGTTGGATGATGTTCACCAGATCACACAGTGTTACATCACAGAAGAGAGAAGTTTTCGGGTTTAGTCATTCCATGTCAAAACAACTAGCGCATGGTGACGACTGGATTTTTTTTTAGTGTAGTGAAACAGCATGTATATAGGCTGCTATGACTGAAGTAAAATTAAAAAATGCTGTCCTGAGTGTTGAAGAGTAAGCTAAGCAAGAAGCCACTATGAAGCAGGCAGTAAACAGCTTAGTAGCCATCACTGTGAGAATGTGAAATGCAACACTGATTTGCAGGGTGTTTCATTGTGTCTAATATTTAGACATGAGGGTCGCAGTAGTCCTAACATTCAAAGTATAATTTTTTTGCTTACATAAAAGTCTTTACCTCAAGCCTGTTTCTTGGAAGAAGTTCAGAACACTGTGGTTGAGGATTGTCATGTATGTTGTTTTTTTTTGTGATTTACAAAAGGCGTTTGATTGTGTTAACCATAAAATATTGTCACATGTTGGGTATGTCATGCGACAACTTCACGTGGGTCTCGGATTTAACCAATCTTTATTGTGCTTCACTCTTACAATTATCACTTGCAATATCACTTGACTTCTGGCCCAATACTTCAATACTCAATATTCTCATACTCAATCTTCTATACGTGTCATAAGCTCGGCTTATGTAGGTGTTCTGTGGACTGGATACCAGACACCATTCCTCACTGTTTCATTTCTACTGTCTGCTGTTACATAACGGGCGCAACGAACTCTCCGTAGTTCATTTCTAGGGAGACACGTTCATTGCTTCTGCGTTGTCTATGCAATGGCTCCCTGTTCTTTGTGTTACCATGGAAGTGCCTATTCCAAACTCATGTGTTCAGCAATCCTTTGCCTCGGGAACACCCCTTCGCAATGGTCTGTTTGTGTTCAGTTTGTTGCTGTTGGAACTCAACAATTTCCATTGTAGCCATTGTGCAGCGATGGACATAAGGTAACGCGTCACAATATTATTGAATAAATTGGAATTCTATGGAATTGAAGGAAAATTTGAAACACTTAATGGGATCTTATATCACAGGTAGATATCAAAGAGTTGTATTGGATAATAGAACTGACAGTAACAACTCATCCAAATGGGAAACAAATGTGGCTTTCCACAGGGCTCAGTTCTTGGTCCCTTGTTTTTTCTGCTTTATATTAACGATTTACCTAAAATAAAAATAATAATATTGTATTATTTGCAGATGAAACCAGTATTACAGTAACTGACACTAATAAGTTAAACTTCGAAATAAATAGTAATCAAACTTTCAAAGATATAAATACATGGTTTAATGCTAATTTGCTTACCTTGAACTTTAATAAGACTCAATATGTCTAGTTTTGACCTATGAATTATTATAATATCACTACTCAAATTAACTATGATCAGATAAATTTAACGAATGTGACAGACAAAATTTCTGGGATGAATTCATGGAAACAACATATTGATTATGTTACTAATAAAATATCCATTGCGTGTTATGCATTGAGAAATATGAAATATATTGTACCTTTAGATGTGTTAAAGCTAATTTATTTTGCTCATATACATTCTATGATAGGTTATGGTATAATTTTTTGGGGTGGCTCTTCTTGTGTTAACAAAGTTTTTATATTGCAAAAGAAAGTAATTAGAATTATAACAAATTCCAGACCAAGAGAGTCTTGTAGGGACATTTTTAAGAATTTGGAAATAATGACATTCTGCTATCAGTACATATATTCATTACTTTTATACACAATTAATAATAAACATTTATTTAATTTTAACAATGAGATTCACAAATACAAAAACTAGAGCCCTCAGTAATTTATATTTACCTGCAGTTAACCTAACATATGTATCAGGTATTAAAGTTTTTAATCATCTTCCTCAAACAATAAAAATGTTGGCTACTGATGTGACAAGTTTTAAATCTGCATTGAAGAGGTTTTTATACCATTCTTTTTATTCCATGAATGACTATTATCAATATAATTGGTCATAAGTGTGTAAATTTGTAATGTTTTTAATTCAGTTAATATAGGTAATATAAATAAAATGGTATTAATTAAAGTTTTATAGTAAGTTATTTTTAAATTATGTTTATTAATTAAAATCTTATTAATTTTTTACTTTATATTATTAATTATGTTAATTAATGTAAGTGATTTTGATTATGTGACTCATGTAATTTTGTATATATATCTTGATATATCTATTTTCAAAGGGACCATTTCCACATCCTATGTTTGTTACCTGTATGGATATATGGAAAATAGAGGAAATGAATGAATGATTGAAATTCAATCACTAGTCCTATTCTGATAGATTAACACACTGCTTTGTCTGTACAAAAATATATTGTGCTTTAGACTGCTTATTTGCAAATGCAAGAAATAAACATTGTGATAGATGATTAGAGTGAGGCCAACATTCCATTATTACGAGCCAAACTTACCATTAAGTTTAGTCCATACAGAAGGTCTTCAACGATGTCCATCAGGCATTTTGACTTTAACTTCTGTTAGAAATTTCCATTTGGTACCAGGTAACAACCAAGCACACAAGGTAATATGCTGAGTTTATCACCATATCCTTGCTGCTCATACATGACCTTACAGGGAAACAATCAGAAAAATATAAAAATTATGTGCTCAGAAGTCTTTATCCATTTTGTCTACAGATTTTAGGTCCTGCTGCCTGTGAATATTTGTATTTTATGCGATATGATGCCATGTGGTTCAATGAAAATCAACTGACATTATGGAGAAGATGCCACATCTGTCTTTGGGTTCAAAGAGTAAGCCAAGCAAGAAACCAGCATGAAGCAGGCAGCAAGCTTACTCTTTGACCTTGAAGATGGAGGCAATACATTCCTCCAAAACATCACTTGACATTACTGGACTACATGCCATTATGTCCAAGAAAATAGATCTCTTCACAGAAATGTTTGTTTCAGCCAACTCTCAAACACAACTGAAGGATTAATAAACAGTAGTGCTTGGTCAGGAAGCCCTTACTGGTAATGACTTCTTGACATCGGCAAGTTGTAGGTTAAGTGAGGTTCATGAGAATTCTGAGGAGAATCTTCTGCCATTCAAAATGCAAGATATTGAAGAATTGTTTTTTTTTGGGGGGGGGGGTTGGTCTGCAACCATCAACACGTCTTACAGGCTCTTCCAGAGGTATTTGATCAGGTTAAGGTAAGGAGATTGCAAAGGCCATCTGATAACTCAATGCTTTCTTCATAGAAAACCAGTCTTGGAGGAGCTTGTAAGTATTTTTTTGGGCCATTATCTTGCTTGAAAATTCAACTGGGAGGTGTTTTGTTTGTGAAATGGGGGAGGATGACCACCTGAAGGATATCTTTGTACTGTGTCTTCTCTGTATGTCACTAATTAAATGCAATGGTCCATTATAATTTTGTGTATGACTGTAACATTGTCTGCACCATGTTTAACTATGGGTAGCTGGTATTTGGAGTTGAATCTTATATTGATTGAACGTCTTATGTACAACACGCTATCAGAACCAAATATGTTGGACTTTGACTTGTCAGTCCACAGCAATTAACTTTCTCTGTATTAGTTCAGAGCTCATTCTCATTGGCAAACTGAAGTTGTGCATACCAGTTTCTTTCTAAAATGAGTGGCATTTTTGCAGGATGTCTTCCCTGAAGACCAGCATCCATGTGACATTGGTTGTGGAAATGTTCAGACTGGCCATGTAGTTTTCCATCAGTTTGGCAGTAATCTCAGTGACTGTATTTTTGGAATCTTTCTGAGGCAAACATCAAATTTTTCTCCCCCCCACCACTTTGTATTGGTAGTAATTTTTGGTCTTCATAATTTGGATGAGTGGTGTACAGTGCTGTGAGCAATGCTTGATAAGAGAGGGAAGGTTCTTGAGAGGAGCATCCTACAGTATTATAAATGACAAATTATTATATGTTATAGAAGGCAAATTAAAAAATAATCATTACGAGTAAAATACAAAGTGGATGAAGTCTTTTGAGTGCATTATTTTTATGTTTTCTGCTTGTGTCATGAAGGTCACATTTAAATGATAAGAATGTTGTGATGAAGTCAGCCTATTACCCTGTGTGCTTGACATGTATTTGGTACAAAATGGAAATTTATAAAAAAAGTCATAGTCAGAAAGTCAAATTGACAGATATTTTGACCACTGCTATAGTTGTTTTTTGAATACTGTTTTCAGAATGTTACATATCGGCAAAAGTGTTGGTCAGGATTACACCATTTAGAATCTACAAGTGTTGGTATTACTTTTGGCATGATGGTATTGAGGAATATAAGAGCATAGAAGGATGAAAGACATTCACCTTTCTGATGAGTTTTACACATGGAAGGACATCCATATATAACTTCTTATCATAATGTGTATATAGAAAAAATCCTGTGGGTAATTAAGACAGTTCATATTTTTTTTGCACTGTTTTGAATGATGATGCTTTTCCTGTGTAATAGGATGTATTTCTTTATTTCCCCCACTTTTTACAGCTTAACAGACAGTTCACATTTGTTGACCACTGATCAGCATAGCCAGTTGCGAATTTACAGGGCACCACTGTGGCAGTTGCAGAATATTATTCCACATCCACATCGCCAGTTTCAACATCTCACACCAATTAAGGTGACTTCTTCATTTCATACCTTCAGTTTCAGAAGTAGGCAAAAGTTGTCTAAATTTTAAGCATTACAAAACTAAATTTCATTCCCAATTTAGTATTCACAGTCATCCTCCTATTCTGTACCATATAATTTGTGTAGAGAAAACATTACAAAATGAATATAAGGAAGAAGCAAGTCTAACTTTTAGAAATGATTTCTGTAGCTGTCTTATTTTAGGTTATGATTTCATAGTTTAGGTCTTTTAAGCACAGTAAAATCCAGTATAAAGTTGACAGAAATATAATACAGCTTTTAATACTCTATTACTATATGAAATCATTTTTGTTTACTTCTCTTTCCTAAGAATATAAAGCAGGTTTCCAAAGTCACTGTACTGTGAGTATCTTCCCATTTCAGATTTTAATCCAGTTGGTGGATTTTCACAAAATTTGGTATGAATGTTGTACTATTAGAGACCCACTGAACCTTATATATCTAAATTACCTATGGTCAGTAATAATAATATCGTAGATGCCTAAACTTGTGAGGTCAGGGACACTAATACCGCTATAATTATATCTAGAATCCTGAAATCATGTATGGTAACAGATCTTTTGAAAATTGTGTAACTATTGTTAAGGTTGTGTTTCTGTAGAATGTAGAACAACAGCATGATAGCTGCAAAAATATCTGTACTTAGCTTTCAGTTTGATGAGTAAATAACTACTTTAATTTTCATTTTCATTGCCTTAAGATTTTCATATTGTTATTGCAAATAGCAATATAATTTGTTTTGCTGTATGTGGATTATGTTTAGTTCTCACATCCAGTAATCCAAGTATGTAGAGCTGTAGTATCAGGTACCCATGATTTAATTTAACTCTTGATTCACGAGTACCTAAGATCCATTTCTAATTTTAATTACATCTGAACCATATAAAGCACATGATGTATACTACTTGGATACATATATGACTGTCAAGATGTCCTTGTGCTTAACTAAGCACTAAGCCACGAAGGATTATGAGACAGTGGATGTATAGATCCACAAGAGAGAATGTATTTCCTGTGAAACAGGAACTCAGTTTTTAAGTACTGTTTTGGTGGACCTATGCTTCAAAGGGTTAACTACAAACCAGATTATCTAAGAAACAGCCATAGCAGTGTAACTTTCTACAAGTAAATTGTGCATGTGAAAGAATAGAAGCATAGAGTTGCTTGTAGATCCTAAAGGGTTCTGACGATGGTGGATGACACACAGAATTACTGGGGTTTTGGACTTTTTCCATCGTCTGGAAATTTAGGTAATAGAGGACATGACATTTTGGAAACTGGATCTCTTTCCGTCTTCAGGTGAGAAAGGGAGACACCTACTCAGTTGGGCCCCTTAGAAAGAGCTAATCTCAATCACTGGACAACTCCTGTCAGATTTATCCAGCTATTTCAACGTATAGGACTAGGCTAGTTCAGTGGGCGGTAACAAGAAACCATGAAATAAAAATTGTGATAGAGCACGTACATGCGTGGAACTAGGATAGAAAAGGAGGTAGAAATTTGTGCTAGAAACCTAGCTGACAAAACCCAAGTGCATGAGCACCAATGCTTATGTTCCAAAAAGTGTGTCATTCACTGTAATCACATATATTAGGCTGTTCAGATTCAATTTTTTCTATTTGTAGGCAACTTGGCACCCTCTGGAAGATATTGTGGTAGTAGGGCGCTACCCAGATGAAAAGTTCAGTGGTTATGTACCTGGAGAGTTACGTACAATTGACTTCTTTGATGCGGACATGGGAACTTACAAGTATGGACTGAGTGATCAAGGCATCGGTGGTATTATCAGCCTCAATCGATTCAACATCCTGGGAGACACATTGGCTTCTGCCATGGGTATGTTTCTAACATTCATTTTGATGATGGCAGAATATCAAGTTATCTTGTTATCTTTCTATAATATAGTCAGAATTTTATGGGGCATTTTGGGTTGATGACTGGATTAACTGTACACTTTCAACTTGTGACTGCAATTAAGGACTACGCTCTCACTATTCTACAAACTTCACAAATCACTATATTACACCCTAGCTCTTCTCAGTTTGTTAGTCTTCACAAGCTGTTGCTTGGTAGCGGACGTTCCCCTTACTCCGGGTTCCCAAATTGTCCCCAGTCTCAGCTGCCAGCTTCTCACAGCAACAGCTCACAATGACTGAACCCCAGCAATTAACTAACTCACTGCAACTCATAACTTATCTTATAACATCTCAGTACACACTGCACAGAAAACTTTGTTCCTCTATATCTGTTTACAGGCTGTTGGCTAGCAACGGCCATTGTGTAGTTGCGTAATTTGCGGTCATTGCCTAGCAATGAGTCTAGATGTCACAATATTTTCCCCTCTAAGTGCAAAATTATGTAGTATTTCATGGAGTTTCTTACACTACTGCACATATTTTTGTATATAATCCATAAATTTGTAGAAATCATAAGTAAACATGTTATGTAAATGTGCAATATTTGTATTTAATGAAAGTCCATGGCTGCAATGAAGATAGATTTTTAAGTTTTAAAATTTGGATGTTTCTGTATGACAAAGGAATGCAAGTTTAGTTGAACATTAAATGTGAATAGCTTCATGTGGGGAGGAAACAATATTAGCCCTATACTTGTTCAAATAACTGGGAATAAAGTCACATGAGTAATTATGGCAGTCAGATCAAATTTGAGGTATCTAGAAAGAATTGGACCAGTGATTGTTGTCAAATTTACAGTGAATTTCTCACATTTAATGTCATGTAATGGACACTTTATGTATATTACGGGAGCTGCATTTTCATAGTTTGCTTCAAGAATCTGTAAATTACTGCTTTTGTACATAAAAATTTCACATGAAACTATATGTGAGTCTGAACCTTTTCCAGTCTGGCATCAAAATGGGCTCAACACCACATTTCATCTAGGGTGGGGTTCATTTTCAAGTCAGCCTTGATTTTGAGTTTTTCTGCTGTTTTTACTTTCATATATTGTAATGTCTACCAGGTATTACATGCACTTTCTGGCGTTTGTTCGTGATGAAACTGAATTCATCATTGGAAATTTGATGTGCTTATCAAAACAAAGCCGTCATGAACCAGATTCATTCAGGAAAAACTTTTGCAAAATTAATTCCATCCAGACTACTGCAACATGCCAAATAATATTTACTGATCAGGGTTAAAATTTGAAGTAAATAGAAAACCCAAAGGAAACAGATACATTTTCTATACAAACAAAGAAAAGAAACTCCATGGTTCTTAGTCTGCAAGGAAACTGTACCGACTGAGCGACTGCCGCTTGTCGGTGAAGTTAGTACTAACTTTAGAGGATAGAGGGTGTCACGTGGTCAGCGCAATGAATCCCCATGGCCGTTAATTTCGGTTTTCTAGACTGAAGCCACTGTTTCCTTGAAATAGCTCCTCAATTATCCTTATGAGGCTAAGTGGACCCTGTTGCAGACCCACTACTTCTCAAAAAATCTGTCTGGTAGCACCAGGAATCGAACCTGAACCTCTGGGTCTGTAGCTAGGGACTCTGACCAGTAGACCACAGAGGCGGTCACATTTTCTATATTAAAACTTTAATTTCAAATTATTTAATTAAGCTTTGTCTAAAGGCAAAATGTCAGTTTCCATTTCTGAAGTGGAGAGTTTTGTTTCAACATTTACATTGTTGTTCTCAGGGTATAAACTAGCCCAAGGTTACTTTGTTGAATATTCACAACTTTTTAATAATTAAAAAAAAATTGTTGTCAAGTTTATATTTTGCCACAACATGATATGATGAAGAATGCAAGGTAGCCTGTTATGTGGTCTACCTACACTGCTGTTGTTAATCATGCCTTATTTTATCTCCAAATCATGGGTAATGCTGCTGTATTAAGTCTTTTAAGGATTCAAGAATTTTGAGACTGATAAGCCAGTAGCAGCTTCAGGTACATGTCACCATCAAGATTAGCACCAAGAAGAAGCACGAGACAGTCATTTGACACTTGAATCTTGGAGCTTTCTTTTTATGTCTCAAAACAAATGTTTGAAGTAGCATTCTCTTCCAGAAATGTCCCGTCTGTCAGTGTTGAAAATCTGCTTTGATGAGTATCATCCTTCTATGATTTTTGCAACTGCTTAGGAAACTCCATATCTACACTCACTTTTTACTCGATAAATGAAGATTGTGCAAATTTGCAGAGTTTGTAAATTGCCCAAACTTGCATTGGCTGGTCATAAATTCAAGGTACACCTACCATTTGCCCCATTTTCCTTGGGTCCTTGAACAATGAGAGGGCTTCCTTGTGAATTATGAGAAGCTGGAATTCATATTGCATTGGTTATGCGTGTCAGTACAATGGGTTAATACTCTTTCCAGTTTCTCCATTACTGCATTTCTTGTTTTTGTTTGTGTTCCATTTCATTTCACCAACATGTGTTTAAGATTACATGTTTTGCAGATAAATGATCTATTGTTGATGAAGTTCATAGCAGTGTAAATGCACTTCAGTTATTCACCTTTTTCAAGTCTTATTATTATGTCCAGTTTTTGTGCCATGGGCGATGACCTCCTTACTTTTTTGGTAACACTAACACCAGAGTCACTTGCAAAAAAAGATCACCCGTGATACACAATATGAAGATGACAACAGATAATCTGAGCATAACATGAAGACGATCTGAAAGCAAAGAATGACAATGACACAGAATGAACAGGATTCTGGGAAGCCTTAACATCACATCAGTATAAGTGCTAGCCTTGTAAGAGATATAATTGAGCTTGTTTAGAAGATATCAGGTATGTAAGTACACATCTGTTGAGCTCATTCGGAAAAAAAAGCTGGCTATGTAAATACAGATCCTGTTTGAGTGAAAACTCCAAAAGTGGTTGCTTATTTAGTGAATGATGGCTGTAGATGGAAGTAACTGAATTGAAGTAGCCATCAGGGGCTCTTACTGGAACTTCTGTTATTGCTCACACACATTCACATTTGTTTGATTACAAAAATGATGTTCCTAAATATCTGCATGGGTTTTAAATCTGCAAGCAGATAATCTTGCAGCAAAACTAAGCTAAATTCTTTACAGGTTTTGGTGTTATGTATGTACAAATGCTACTTTTTTAGTTATTCACTTTTGTATGTATACCCTTTTCTTATATGTCTTTATGTCATTACCTGTGCTGATTGCTGTTTTATATATCTTACTAATTTGTATTTGTGTGCAGGTTTCAACATTCTCATATGGCAACCAGATAGGACCAGTGACCTGAAACATTAAAATCTACAGAAGAAAATAAGTTGATTTCAGAACAGAATGAGGATGATTTAGATCTGGCCTTGAGGGTGATGAAAGTAAACCCTTGTAAAGGCATAAGATAACTACATTCCATCAACAGTGTTTTGCAATCTTTTGCGTGTTGTGTTCTGGCAGGTCAATTTATCAAACTGTATAGTCCCAACATAGTAGAACAGAGTTAATCTTTTTCAAAGAAGTGTATTTCCAAAGTTATGTAAATTTTACTAATTGTTAATTGTTAAGTTCTTAAGATCTGCAAGATGTTTTATTACTATAGTTATATAAATTTTGTTGGCAGAAATGTGCTTATAGTATAGCACTAATGATAAGTTTATGCTTACGGTCCCATGAAGTTTTTGTGTGACTGAATTAATTAATTACTTTGGATACCTCTTATTCCACTATGTTGACCATAAAGTCTCACTAGTTGAGAAACACTGCTGTACAAGGTTTGGAAATGTAGAGATTACTTTGAGTCTTGCAGCTCAGCACAATAAATCATTGTGTTGTTTATAAAAGCTGGAAACATACTGTTTATTTTTTTTTTTCCAAAAAAGGCGGTATTTCCTTTAGTTCACTCCTCAGCTTTTAAGTTATGTCTATAATATAGAACTAAAAGAGTTATTTCAGTTCTTTTTTAAAAGTTTTCCTACATATAGCTGAATCTAAATATCCTTTTGTGATGAAAGGTAGTTCTGCAACTAGTTACATTACTGATTGGCACAGTATATGATATTCTTTCATTTTGGGTCTGATTATATCTCCAGTACATTGAACAAGCTTGGACATAACAGTTGGCAATACCAAAAATAACAGACTGTGAACAAGGAGTTCCAAGAAGAACTCGTGAAGTCGGGTTTCATATTACATAGATTTCTAGTCCTTGTATCTGTTACGGCCATAGTGTTATTTTACTTTTGTGAAGAATTTGTTTCTTAAATGTAGATTTTGTCTGCATTAAATTTTTCAGATATGACATTAAAATTTGGACTCTCTCCAAATTTGTAATTCTTCTCTTACAGACAAATTTCATATGTGATCGGAAGGTATGTTTATATACCTGCCCATTGTATATGAAATTTGTTACTGAATAATTACAGATACCAGATTCCATATGCCTGCCTCCATTTACTTGTTAGTTATTATCATCATACTGAAAGCTGAAGATGATGTTCACATTAATGCCATATTGTTACTTTACATCCCATAAAAACTTACGTTAAGAGAAGTTGTATGCTTTTTAAAGATCTATTGCTGTATGTCATTTCAGGATTTTTTATAACCATTATGTTGGCTTTAGAATTGCCTCCACTGGCATAATATTCATGTCAAGTTTGTTGAAAATGAAGCAACTGTTTCAGACATTAAAAAGGACATACCCACAAATACAGAATGATGATTTCATAAGCCAACTTTCTTTCCATGAAAAGTACACTAAAAGTGAATGTATACTTTAAAAACAGTGTATTATTTTCACAAAATATTTGTGCAGTAATTGAAAATTTCTATAACTTTATGCTGCAGATTTTTTAGAGCTTTCCACAAATCATGAACCTCTCAGGCAGGAGAGTCATCAAGTTGTGTGGGGAAATTTGGCTTCTAGTCAAACCAACAAACCTACAGCCTAGATACATTACAAATAAAATGAATCCAGGTTATGGCAAATAGTAGAAATCTCTCTATTGTTGACAGGAGAATGTTTGAACCTAACAGTAATTTCTCTTCAGTTTTGGCCCAGTAAATTATCGAATGGCTACAATGAAGAACACTTATGCATTTTACACTAGACACATATCCCATGCTGCTTCAGATTGTCCATTGTACTTTGTACTTTCACACAGAGAAGCTATTCATTGAACTGTTAATAAAGGGTGGTTACTAGAGGACACCCCCACCCCCAAAATATATAATACATGTGTGTTTTCATGTATAGTGAAATGCCAAGTGTTCATTGAAGAGAAATGAAATGAAAACTATGCTAGGCCCAGAGGTACTCTTCAGAAATCACTCAGATGCCTTGTGCAGGAGACCAGGGTGTAATGTTTGAAGAGTACTATCTTTTGGGATGTAGTCCATTGAAAGTCAGCTGACGTTTCGGAGGAACATATCACCTCCATCTTTAGAGTCGAATAAGCCAATCAAGATACCAGTGTGAAAGGATGCCACCTTTCACTCTTGTATCTTGTTTGGCTTGTTCGACCCTGATGATGGAAGCGATATATTCCTCCAAAACATCAGTAGACTTTCAGTGGACTACATGGTGTTACATCTCAGAAGACAGTACTCATAACCACTGCTGTGAGAACCTCAGTTCCTACATGTGGTAGTTTTGTTTATAATGTGTTTAAGCTGTAGTGTATTGTTTCTGCTAGCAGATACAAAGAGCATTTGGCTTTTCTACCTCAGAGGTTCAACAATTTGTGAGGCACTATAAAATATCTCGTTGTACTAGTTTATGTGGCAGGATAATTTTCCAAAGTGAGACACCTATATTGAAACTCCCATTTCAGTTCTCCACCACAGTATTTATTTCAGGCTTGTGATCTCTTTATTGATGGCTTACCTGTTGAAATGTACAAACACCATCAGATGTTCATCAGCCTGTGCTAGTACTCATATGCCAGTGTTCTTGTATGTAGGCTAATATTATCATTTATTTTCTTGTACTTTTGTCATTACTAATTTCTGTATGTAAAATTTAGTGAACAGTTTACATCACTGTTTCCTGAATAGTGTTATGCATAGTGATTCTGAGGTTTTAGAAATAATTTTCTAGAATGGCAGATGTTAACCATCACAGCCATGCTATAAATAATTTCAATTAAAAGTATAAATTTGAAACATATTTGTGTTTCCAGTCAGTCCTTTAATATTGTTAACAACAGGAAATGTATTTAAATGTGTAGTGTATGCCTCTGCAAGATTATTAGCACCTAACTGATATGTCTAATTAGAAAGTGAAGGAAAGATTCAGTCTAGTATTAACATCTGAAGCTCTGCACCAAGCAAGAAACCAGCAGAAGCAGTCAGCAGATAAAGCTAAGCTATGCTGAACTTGCTTTCTTCTGTTTTCTCACTTGGCTTATTCTTTGACCCTGAAAGTTGTGGAAGTTTGTTGTTTCAAAACATCAGACTGTGTCCTAATTACATAGGATTACAACCCAGAATACTCTACAAGTGTGAACAGTCTTATTCCTTTAATTTATTATTTATTCTGTTTTTCTGGTTGTAAATAACAATGTTAATATTATTCTGAGGAAGGGTGAAAATTTATTCACACTTTGAATGTGAAATTTTCTGAACACATTAATAAAAGTGGCCTTTTCATTCTGTGTTGTCTTCTCTCATCATTGCACATTGGCACATAGTGCATTTCCTGGATGTCGTGTAGTTATTAGTCTTCTTTTCTTTTGATAACCATTAATTTAAAATTGGCATCATATGCAGTTTGCAAGAATCAGAGAATCTGCATAACATGTCTCAACTTTTTAATGATATCCTGTGATCACATCACATGATCTGTGTTCATAGATTTCATCATAGTAACCATTTTTTATGAAGTGTTAAACTGAGAAACATTTATCATATACATAAAATCTTATGTTTCAGTGGTCATCATACATGTCTGAGTTTCCAGCTACATGCTATGCCCATCAGTGATTTTCATTTATGTTCATATTTTTGTATCTTACCATCCAGTTGTCTTGGATAGTTTGAGTTGCACTACCTTAATATTGTCACATGTCATTGTGACTAAAGATGGGACTGAAATTGAACGGACACATCAGCTGTTGGTCTACGCCGATGATGTGAATCTACTGGGTGATAATGTAGATACCATAAAGGAAAAGCCACAGACTTTAATTGATGCAAGTAAATAGGTTGGTCTAGAAGTAAACACAGAAAAAACTAAGTATATGTTACTATCTCGTCATCAAAATGAGGGCAAAATCATGACATAAAGACAGGAAACAGATGTTTTGAAAATGTGGCACAGTTCAGATATTTGGGAACAACGATAACAGATCGAAACCTGATTCAGGAAGAAATGAAAGGGCGATTGATCTCGGGTAATGCTTGCTACCATTCAGTCCAGAACCTTTTATCTTCTTGTCTGTTGTCCAAAAACATAAAAATTAGAATATACAAAACTATAANGGAAAGCCAGAAGGAAAGAGACCACAGGGAAGACCAAGGCGCAGGTGGGTGGACAATATTAGAATGGACCTTAGAGAGATAGGATGGGATGGTGTGGATTGGAGAGATCTGGCTCAGGATAGGGACCAGTGGAGGGCTCTTGTGAGCACAGTACTGAACCTTCAGGTTCCATAAAATGCTGGGAAATTCCTAAGTAGCTGCAGAATTGGCAGCTCCTCCAGAAGGGCTCAGCTCCATGAGTAAGTAAGTAAGTAAGTAAGTAAGTAAGTCCTTGTGACTAAGATGCGGGTTCGGATTGGTGAATCGGTTTACTGGATCTTCACTAGTTGTAACTACAAATAATTGTAATTCAAGTTTACTGTAATTATGACACACACGTTAAGTCTTCACAGGTCTTCTATTCACTTCTCTTACAAGTACTATACACTAGTCTCTCAGTCTCTCTGCTCTAGTTTTCACGGGTTTATAACATGGGCACTGTAACAGTCTCACTCCAAGTATTACAAATGAATAAAGCCTTCCAATCACACTTCACGGGTCGACTTCTTAGTCCTCTTCTACAACAAACTCAGAACTTGGAACTGAATCGTAGCACTGTTTGTTTTTAAGATAACTCCTTTGCATGGACCCAAGGGAAAACACTGTCTCCCATTGTTGCGGATGCATATTTACTGCTGCGTTGCCTGGCAATGTGCTTTTGCTTAGCGTGGACTGCATAGAAAACACAGTTTCCCTTCCACTGTTGCGGTGTGTTTAAAGAACTGTTGCTCAGCAATGCGTTGATCAAATCTGTTACAATATATGTGTAATGAAACATCCATCCCACCCTGTTTCTTCGAATGCTATGCCACTAAAAAAAAGCATAAAAAATGTTCCTCATGGAGACAAGCCCAGGAAAAATTGTTAATTTTGCTCTTACAGGAATGTGTTCAAGGCCCAAGTTAATTTATTTCCTGTATAAGGCACTGAGACACAAATGACATGAAGTTCATTTTCATAGTAACCATGGTAATAAAATTTGTCCTGAAGGTCACAGAAATGACATGCGTATGAGTCCAAGAACCCGGAGGTGATAAATTTAAGTGATTTCCAGGGGAAACAAAAATTGTTCCTCAAATTTCACTGTAGATTTTTCTGCACAGGCATGCCTGATATCTATCTGTCCTATACTGTGTCTTCATAATGGAATGTAGAAACAATTATAAGTACAAGAAATGTTTGACTAGGAGAAACAACTTGTTTTTCTGTTTAAAAATTATGTGCTTGTCATCCAAAAGATGACCCCATTTCTCCCAGATGGTGTGCTGTAGAATATGTGAATGCAAAAAAAATTAATAGCATGTCTGAAGTTTTTTTGTACCAGATCTCACTGGTTCAGAATTAGTAGTTAGGGACAGTGGTGAATCTCCCATGGAGGCAATGAATGAATGTATAAGGGGTGGGCCTTCTTGGCCCTTGCACCGCGACCACAGTGATCTATTGTGCCTCCCCTTCTGATTGTCCCCTCAACAATCCTGGACCTCGAGTGAAGCGCAGGATCTTGTATATGGGGACGTCAAAATAGTTCAATTTTCTATGTTTATACGTCATTTGAGACAAACATTGTTACCAAAGTTTGTGTGATACCCATAAAGAAAGTAGTTCTGCAATAAAGGTAAAAAGATTTTGGATTAAGTTTGAGAATATTACAATTCCACAGAGAAGATTTATTCATAGAATTATAAATAAACTGAAATGGAATTGTTACTGGAAAAAGGCTGAATCAGAATGCTCTGTGGTTGCTGAATAGAAATGGGATGAAAGTGGAATAAGACTTCGGCATCCTCCTGAAAGGTATCTCGTGCACTGTGGATGTGAGAATGGGTGTTAAAACTGTCACCACAGCTATGAAAAATAAAACAAATTAAGACAACATGAACTGCTATCACAGTAAAGTTAAAAAAAACTATCCCCATAACAGGCCGTGAAGTACCATAGGGTTGTAAGACATTGAGGCTCCCACCTTTTCTCTAGACAATTGGCTCACAGAGGGTGGTAAGTTTGTCAGCCTTGTGCGCTGACTGACCTTTACCCCCTAGAAAGATTCCTGGTACTCATTTCTGTCAGAGGCTGAGTTGAGCCCAGGGCCATGGTGTGTCTGGAATGATTAGGTAAATTGAAGAAAAAAATCCACCTCATCAGGACTCAAACCCATGACCTTGTGGCTTGTAGCAGCACCTCAGCCAGCTACAATATTGATCACAGTATTGATGCAAACTTACCTCATTGTAAGCGGCCTCCGTAGTCTAGAGGTAACGTTCCCACCTCATGACTCGTAGTACGCGGGTTCAAAAACCCGGCGGAGGTCGTGGAATTTTTAAGGGCGGAAAAATTCAGGGAACAAGTCCTCCGGGAGGGACTTTAAACCGTGGGTCCCTTGTCATAGATTTACGGCACGTAAAAGAACCTCATGTCTCTAGGAGACCTCTGAGCAAAATTAGGCAACATTTCCGCCCAAGTAGCTTCCAATTCCTCCGGCAGATGGGGGAAGTATTAGGTACTGCTGCCAGAGGAGGGGGGACCTCTCTGATAGAAAGGGACTAACTATTAGATACCACTGCCAGAGGAGGTTGGAACCTTGCTGGCAGAAAGGGGCTGATAGTAAGCACCAGTACTGGTAGGGTATGGAGACAGTAGAAATTAAAGGGGGACGCACAATGGGCCACTAACCGGTCTAAGTGAATGGGGAAACCCACCCCCTCAATACGGAATACCTCATTGTTACTGTTATTTATGTGGAGTTATAAAGCAAAATTTTAGTTCAAATACTCATACAATTAAATACCTGAATTGAAGTTTATTCTTTTCATGAAAACCTCAGTGCATGACTACAGGTTATTCCTGTTACTGTTAGGAATATGTTCAGAGACTAATTGACAACATTTTCAATATCTGCTGTAACCTGAGGAAGTATGTTTTGTAATGTGTTTAGGTTTGTCAGTTCTGCTAACAGTCCAAATCTTCATGAGCCCAGCTTGATGCAATGAGCATCTGTGTTATGCTTGAGATGTCCAATTATTTTCAGGGGTTGTGCTGGATTTGGGATTTCACAGCAGTGAATGTCCATACTGTGGTTTTGTATGTTATGCCATAACCCACAACATGAACACGAAATCATCAAATACACTACGTAGGATCTCAGAAGACTGGAAGAGGAATTCTATTGTAATTGTAAGAGGTGTTAAGAAAATTCATCAGGGACACAGGCTCTTGGGATGACGGTGTGCAATTTGGTTAGGTACCATTGTTTCGACGGAGATCGATGCATCAGTTTCCTAACGAACGACGCAAACTATCAAATTACACGGTGGCACCTTTTCTTAGAAGACCGCAACTTCAAGCTTGCCTCTGTGTGAACCTGCAAATCTCAAAAATACTCTTCGACAACAAAATTGTAACAAAATTTCCCACCAGTATTCTTCTGAGGAGAATTGCCATGTCCGATGTTAGAGCAGCCAACATAATAGAACTTTCGCTGGTCGTTGCGGAATATGCGATTTGATTCTAATCTTGGTTCATTAGGATCATTAGGATTAGGATTACGTTTTTAGAAGCACTTGTACTGTTGTCACTATATGAATAGCGATCTAGAAAACTGCAGTTCTGGTTTAGTGAATTAACAGAAACGTTCAATTGCTGGAATGTATGGTAACTTTAACCCGTGATCCATAATCGATAGCAGTCGTGGTTCAGACGCGTTAAGAAGTGAGAGAAGTGAGGATGGCGGCGGGACCGATTGCGGAAAGAAATCAAGGTATAAGTGACAACAAGTAACTGTACACAAGCAATACAGATGTATAAGAACTTGTATATAAAGTTCATAATTATTTAATTATACCATCGTACTAGAAGCTATTAAGATTAATATGAAACTAAGCTGATATTGTTTCTATGTAACCTTCAATAGAAGGCTGATGGCTGTTCAGTTTAGTACTCAGAAATTTGATTTGTAATGCATATCATTAGACCATGTATCAACAGCAGAAATTGTTATTCTTATCTACTCAACACTAAAAAAAAATAATCATGTGGCCCACACTATCGCCGATTCTGTGTGAGAGCACAATCTGTTATACCATTTATGTCAGACGAGATTTGCGGCCAGTTACACTGATACCCAGACTGGGCAGAAGTTTCTGGTCATTGTTAGGATACATTAGATTAGCATAGTTTCTAATCAACATTAAATCTGGAATAGCTCCTTGGTGGGCTGGATGGCCATGCACTTGGTGTTTGGTTCCTTGCAGGAGTAAGAAATTTTGCTCAGTTCTGCAGTATCTGTACTGTCTCTTGGGCTTACTTAGCCTCCTACCCAACAGGTATTCGGATTTCATTCCCCATGGGTTAGGTGTCTGGGATGCTAAGTTGACTGCCAATGTCCCTCGAGTGTCAAGGTTGAGAATTGGTGTATCTGTACTTGTACTCCGCATATGTGTTTTTATGGTTTTGTGCTACATTATTTAAGCATAGGGAGAGCTCTAGGACCAACATGAGGTTGGAAAGAGGTGATGCAGAAAAACTGAATGGGTGACGTACATCACATGTTTCACCACTTCAGTGAATGAGATTATCATACCTTCAAATCTGTAAATATTTTCTGGGACTAAAGAACGTGAGCAGTACATGCAGAGACACATTTTTACAGATATTTTCTCACAACAGTAATTGAATGCACTCAGTGAGAGCAATATGTTTATTAATGTAAAACCAAAGTTATTATATAGTAATTGATCATAAACCCTGTATTATGGCATTTCTTCTACTCCACGAAGTTTACTTTCGCAGCCTTCTTGAAAATCTGTATCTTTTTTTCCCCCACCATTAGACTCTAGTTGATTATTATGTTGTCAGTTATGTCATCCATAATGCCATCCTACTCTCCGTATTCATTTTCTTAGTCTTTTTCACATATTCATGTGATGGTCACCAGCCATCCCCCTCTGCTAAAACTTTCCTTCATAACTTTACCTTTTATATTCTCGCATTTTATCCTTTTCTATATCCATTTTATTTTCATCATCATCCCTCTTTATTTCTTATTACTTTCCAGTCCCTTTTATTTGTCTGCCCTACTGTTATTCATTTCCCCCTTCCTCCTTCTGTCTCTTTAACATCAAAACAGTTCCCTCACCTATCCCCTTTCATACCTTTATCTCTATCCCTCCTCTTACTTCTGTGTCTTTCCAGTCCCTTCTATTCTTCCTCACTCCATATCCTAACAACAGCAGAAGATTTTCCTGTACTGTAGCGGTGTCACATTGGGTTTTCTGTGAACTTGGCAGGAACTGGCTGTAATTTATGCAGAGTGTATCAGAATTCAATGGCAAAACTTCAAGACCGAACTCCACACATATAGAGAGAAGAAAAAAAGTGTATGACAACATGGTTCCGGAAATGCATAATTACAGAGTTATCCGACCTTTTAGTAACATTAGTGCAATCCGACACTCCCAACACTGTTGCAATGTTACACTGAATACGTCTGTAATGCCAGCTGGAACACTCCGGGCACGTATCAGAGGAAATGTTCAAAGTGAACTCCTGCCTGAATACAGGCCTCCGCTCGTTGTTGCATTGAGTGCCACGCACAATCAAAAATGCCTGGTGTAGTGCATACTGTCTGACAGGCTGCCACACTGCGTGCATGGAGAGTTGGTACATCAACAACAGCAGTCAAATACACGACAGACTTTAAGTGTCCCCACAGGTAAAAGTCCGGGGGGTTTAAGTCAGGAGAGCGTGGTGGCCAAGCAATAAGTCCACCCCCACCTATCCAGCACCCAGGATAATGTGCATTAAGGTGCCTGCGGGCAGACAGACTGAAATGTGCAGGAGCACCATCATGCATGAAGTACAGCTGTCAATGGGATGCTAGTGGCATGTCTTCCAAATAATCAGGCAATGTAGTACGCAAGAAATCTGTGTAGTTCTGTCCAATAAGCTTGTCCGGAAGAACATAGGGTCCCAACAAACACTCACCAACAATGTTGATGAGACAATTCCGGAAGAACATAGGGTCCCAACAAACACTCACCAACAATGTTGATGAGACAATTGGATAGTTGCATGGGAATTTGTGTCCGCCTACACGTGCTGATTATGAAAACGTTGGATTCCATCCCTTGTGAATGTTGCCTCCTCCGTGAACAACACAACAGCTGCGAAGTTAGGCGTTGCACCGCATTGTTGCAGGAACCACCGGCAGAATGTTGCTCTTGCAGGATAATCCGTAGGGAAACAAGGCTTGTACACGTTGTAAATGATATGGATACAGGAGCTGTTCTCATAGCAGTCTCCAGATCGTCATGTGCGGGATATTCTTCTGCAAGCCTAACTGCCTTGTGCTGACTCCAAGACTTTGATCCACAGCGTTGAGTACATCTTCTTCCTCCTCCTCAAGGGTTGTACTTCTTGGCCGTCCCCCTGTGCCTGGTGGACATGCGAAACTCCTGTGTTCGCGTAGGTGGCAATGGATTCCTTCAAATGTCTTTTGGTCTGGCAATCTGCACATTGGGTAGTGTTCGTAATAAAGCGACGCATATCTGAAGGATTACCATCTGCCAAACCATACATGTAATGCATGCTCACGAGTTCTTCGTTTGTGTACATTCGGTATCACTTCACAGCAGACTGCAAACAACACCTAATAATCACAGATAACAGACGTCATACACACCTTTTGGATACGGCTACAGCTACTTGACTGGAGACGACAGGATATCATCTGCACGTCCTAGAGGTATTCAGGCCCACATCAAATTGATTGGCAACATGATTACTTGTGTAACATTTGTAACTGGTGTCTCACAGCTTTATTCTGACAAACAGGATGTGACGGTGTGCACTCCGTAAATTACACACTCAGATAACTCTGTAATTATGCATTTCTGGACCCATGTTGTCATACACTTTGTTTCTTCTCTCTATATGAGGAGTCCATTCCTGAAGTTTTCCCGTTGAGTTTTGATACACTCTGTATATAGATATTTCATTGGCCCTTATATTAATAAAAGTGAGCCAGGATAGCCCACTTAGTGTAGTGATAGGCTATGTGCTGGACAGCCAGTGTTTGATTCCTGATGGGGGCAAGAGATTTTTCTCTTCTCCACAGCGTCCAGACTGACTCTGGGACCCCACCCACCCTCTTATCTAATGAGTCCTGGGGGCTCTTTCTAGTAGGGTAAAACAGTGGGGGTATGAAGGTGACCACTCACCTCAATCCAGCGCTGAAGTTAGCAATGGTGGAGCTATACCTCCAGTCCCCCAAATGTCTTTATTGTGTAGTGCCTAATTAATGGAACACAAGGATAACTTTGCCTTCTTTTTATGTTAATAGAAAGAAGTTTCTCACTGAGGTGTTTTATTCTTTGTTCTGGCTGTTAGTTTTTGTAGTGGGTTCCTAAATGTATGTGTTAGTTGGTTGTTTAACATTGCTGTCAGTATTGAGACTAGGTAGTGTTAGTAGATCCTTCTTTCCCCTCAGCACTAGAGTTCGGGGTGAGCTTTGGTCTCCTGAACAATCTACCTCCATTCTTCTCTCTTCATCATCTTTCCTCCCCATCCCTTCACTTTCATTTTATGGAGATCATCATATATATCTTCGCTGATGTCGATTTCCATTCAGTCCATCCATTGATCAACCTGAGGTTGATTGTCTGTTTTCTGAACAATTTAGTTTTTATGGTGTGAGGTTGTTAGCCTCAGCCCCAACCCCAGCCTGGAGGACCAGGGTATCCCTCTTTATCAGTCTCCCACCCCTTGACCTGTCTGGCATGGGTGACCCTACCAGTAGCTATGCTACCACCGGCATAGCTCTCAGGGTCTCAGGAGCACTGAAACCCCACCACCACGATAAGGTGGAGACGCTGTCAGTGGGTAGTCAGTGTAGATAGGATGATAAATGAATGAGGAATTCTAACCCAGCACTTCCCATATACAAGTCTAGAGCATTAGCACTAGACAAACCTATTTGGTAGATTTATTGTGCAGGACTGATTTATGTAGTCTCAGATTTGTTGCGGTAGCATAGTTGGTTGAGGCACTATGCTACAAGCTGGAAGGTGGCAGGTTCTAGTCGCAGTGAGGTCATTGGATTTTTTTCAATTGACCAAGTCCTTCCAGCCGCACTATGGCCCTGGGGAGTAAAGCGTGGTCGGTGCATAAGGCTGACAACCTTACTGCCATCTTTGAGCCAATTGTCTAGATAATGTGGGACCCTCAACGTTTCACAACCCTATGGGCCTTCACAGCCTGTTAGAGGGATATCTTTACTTTTTTTTTTCACTTTGCAGCATTGTATCCTGCAATTATAAAAAAGGAAGTAAGTGTTATGTTCTTCAAACCAGCTAACATTCATTAATATTTATTTCCAGTATTTGGTGTCCAGATTCATTGTTATTTGGAACCCATTTTAGTGCCAGTGTTTTTCTGTGGGTATCTAGCTATTCTGTTTCAGATGTAGACATCAGTGTTATATTTTAAACCCAAATTAACTAATTTCTGAGAAGCTGTATATGAACTGCATGTTATTGGAGCCAAACACATCTCATACTACTAGTAGCAGCAGCGATGACAACGAAGACACCAGCAGTGACACTGACAAAAAATAACAGTTATCTCATTGAACGGGGGTTATGGATGTTGATGACAGTACCAGTTTTAAACATGCCTTTTATGCTTTAGTTGGCCTGTAGTATCATTGAACTATTATGAGAGCTAATTTTAAAATGTATCACCAGATATGTTAAGATTGTAATTGGACAAAATAATAAAGTAATCTCACATTCTTGTTGCATTTCAGATGCCACAATTTATGTGGGTGGTCTGGATGAAAAAGTCAGTGAGGCTTTGATGTGGGAGCTTTTTGTTCAGTCAGGTCCAGTAGGTGAGTATACAATTTTCTTATGGTACAATCAGAACAAGATTTGGTGTGATACATTACAGATGTTACTTCTTGTAAGTGATTGTCTGCATGTTTGCTGGTACAATCAGAACAAGATTTGTTGGGATACATTACAGAGGTTACTTCTTGTAAGTGGCTGTCTGCATGTTTGCTGGTACAATCAGAACAAGATTTGTTGTGATACATTACAGAGGTTACTTCTTGTAAGTGGCTGTCTGCATGTTTGCTGGTACAATCAGAACAAGATTTGTTGTGATACATTACAGAGGTTACTTCTTGTAAGTGGCTGTCTGCATGTTTGCTGGTACAATCAGAACAAGATTTGTTGTGATACATTACAGAGGTTACTTCTTGTAAGTGGCTGTCTGCATGTTTGCTGGTACAATCAGAACAAGATTTGTTGTGATACATTACAGAGGTTACTTCTTGTAAGTGGCTGTCTGCATGTTTGCTGGTACAATCAGAGTGAGGAGGATGTGGACAAGTCCACTCATAGGAGTAAGGGTGGGGGGTGGAAGTCAGTGACACTGAATGGGAAGGGACTCTCTTGTTAGGAAGAAAAGTTGGAGGAAAGCAAGTGAAGCCAGACTTCGCTCATTTTGTATTTATCTTAAAAACAATTGAAGTTATAGTGTAGTCCGTTTATTTCACTGGCTTTCATGATAATATGGAGACAGTAAGATGGATGTTGGCTGCAGTTTCACTTTTACCTTAGTTCTTATTGTATGTCTTCTTAAGTGAAGATGAGGCAAAATTCACAAGTAGGGAGTGAACAGCCTATATGATTGGGCGCTGAAGAATCTTCGTGCTCCCCTACACTCTTCGTTTACAAGAAAGATATAGTGTCAGTATCAGAATTGTAGATGATTACGTGATTGGACTGTGCATGGTAACATGTCTCAGGGGAATCTAGTACACTGATATTCATGAAAGAACACTTACCATTCTGTTGGAGGATGTAACTCTTAATTTTTAAAATGACATAAGGTTTCAACGTGGTAGTGGCCCTCCTCACCTTTCTCACCGTACAAGTGATTGGAAGCATTCTGCAAAACAGAGTGAGTCTAAACTGTATCAAGACTTCAGTAGGTGTTCATTTTGTTTTGTCCCTTGTAACTTCTGGACCTATGGTCTGAAATTCTTGAATTTAATTGGAAAGAGGTCATGGAATTGCGAGATGATTTGCTTTATATTTCTTGGTTTTCTCTCTTAATTTCCTTTGTGTAGCAGTCTGATGTTAGGTTACTTTTATTTCTAAGTCAAGATTTTGAAGATTCATGGATTTGTTAAACTAGAGGAAGGTTTATGGATAAAGAATAGTATACTTCACCAGTTATTTCTACAAATTTAAATTTGTGGTCTCTGTTTTCATAGAATTTAGCTTTCGGTTGGAGTGTGTCGTCCCCCTCATTTTTATATATATAATGTGTTGGGTGTATAACACGACAAATAACTTCACACCGTATTGGATATAGCAAAGTTATTGCACATTTACTCTTAGAATTACACAATTCACAATCACACAAGTATTTCCATCGGCAGTATCACACTTACTGCTCCTGCTTCCATTCACTCTGGCAAATGTTAGACTGCAACTGACTGGTTACTCTGGTAATTCTGTTGTTATGTAGCTTCCGCATTGACAACACAGAAAACAGTTACAGTTACGTGATAGCTACCACTGTTGCGAAACGTCATGTTTACAGGCGTTGCTGCGGAACGCTGCTGAGAGTTGTTTAGTGCTGCGTAGTAACCGCGGTGTCCCCTGTTACGTCACCACGGGAGGCGACCGAGTGTTTACTGGCCTGTTACTGTAGCAGCGGCAGTTGCTCCGATGCTGTTACATCACTGCTGGAAAGGGGGGGGGGTGTTTACCGAGCGTTGCGCCATCCACGTCACAAAATATATATATATATATATATAATATTAAATGCTATAGATTGAAAGCATCATTTTCACATAGCAGCAGAGCATTTGCTATGTAATGTAACTTTGTCTGTTTTATAGTAGAGCCTAGGACTGCCTGCTAGTGAACATGTTTATAGATGAATCACAAAGATGCTGTCTTGATATTGTGAAGTGCATAGTAACTCTGCACTACAAGAACTATTCTTTCATTTGTTTGCATGAGCACTTAATATAAACTTTGGCACATAGAGATTCCTGTTGCCTGGGTTATCGCACTTCAGCTTGTTAAGTATGTACCATTAATAGAGTGGTATCTGTCTGCCAGAATATACTGCAGCACATCACAGAAGATAATTTTCATAGTGACTGCCATGAGAACTTCAAACTCATGTATGCCACATAAGTAAGACGTGTTATGAATGAAGAAATTTCTTGGCCATTATTTCTATAATCGTTTTCCATATTACACTTTGCTTTGTAATCTGTAAGCATAACACTTAGTACAACATTAAGTTTATAGGACCCATATTTTTTTTTTTGTGATGATCCAAGCTTCTTATTATGCCACATGAAATAGCCAGATGATAAAATAATTTTGTGGGTAATGTAGTAAGTCAAAAACCAAAGTCTAAAATATGATTTCATGCATTTTACATGTGTGTAAAGTGCTTCTTTCATTGCTGCGAATTTAATGCTTCTTGCTTCACATCAAATACCAGAGTTGTCTGATTTCTCTATGTTGGAAGCTTGTCATTTTTGTTTTTCATTATTATGTATCACCGAGCCTGTCTTATGAAATTTCTTCCAGTATTGCTTTGCGTAGTATGATTGCAACATTTCTTCAGTGACATATGTTTTATAATATAAGAAACCATTATTGAACACTAAACGGTTCCAGTGTTCCCTTGAAGGTACTAATTTCTGTATATATAGCTGAGGTATTCAGTATCTGTGATAACCTTCCTCAGTCTTGTGGCTTTTGCAGTTGAATGTACACTGAGAGAATTGCTTGGTGTGTGAAAGTAAAAAATATGCATGCCCTGTCTAAAAAATACACTTCAGAAGTAAATTTTCAGGTTACAGGTTGCAGGTACTGTCAAATATATATACACAGTGTGTCCAGGTTCTGTTAGGACTGTGTTCATTGAAAATACAAGACATGAATTATTTTCAAAATTTCACTCTTTTTATTCAAAATAGTCTCCTTCTGAATCAATACATGGTTGGGATCAATTGAAAAGTTTTCGAAAACGGCCACTGTACTCATTTTGTGGCATCGCATTTAAAACTGTGGTACATTCCCTTTGGATGTCCTGGATGGTGTCGTGACCATCTCCTTTCATCGCCAGCTTAACTTTTGGGTACAACCAGAAATCTGCTGGAGCCAAATCTGGTGAATATGGAGGATGATCAAGGACTGTGATCAATTTTCTGGGCAAAAAATCATGCACAAACTTTGATTTGTGAGGTGGGGCATTGTTGTGGAGGAGCGGCCAGGAACCTTGATCTTGATATTCAGGTCGAATTCGAAGAATTCTCGCCCACAAATGAGTGAGGACTCTGAGATAATAATCATAATTCACTGTTTGACCTTCTGGCAGAAATTCCTTGTGAATGATTCCATTGGAATCGAAGAAAACGGTTAGCAGTGTCTTTACTTGACTCTTTTGCATGCACACTTTCTTTGGTTTCAGCTTCTTTGGGCTCAACCACACTGCACCCTGCCGCTTTGTGAGAGGCTCATATTGAAAAGACCATATCTTGTCACCAGTAACAATCAATTTTGTAAATTTTGTATCACATTGGGCTGACCGTAACATGTCTATGCAATGTTCCACTCTGGCATGTTTTTCATTGCCTGACAGCGCGTGCGGTACAGACCACGCACAGACCTTCCGTTTGCCCAAATCCTCAGTCAGAATTTGATGCACAGTACTTTTTGGTATTCCCAAAAGCTCCTCAATGAGTCGCAGAAACACATCTGTCTGATGCAAGGATTTCGGTCACTTTTTTCACATTTTCTTCAGTGCGACTTGTTCTCGGCTTTGATGCATATGGAGCATCTTCAGTGTCCTCCCTGCTGTCACGAAATACATCATACCATCAAAAAATGTTCGAGTGACTCAAACAGTCACTACCATACACACTTTTCATCATTTTGTATGCTTCTCTGGCTGTTTTGCCTAACTTCAAACAAAATTTTATGTTGGCTCTCTGTTCAGCTGCCATTCCTAACGGATCCTGGACACACCGTGTATGTCCCACCTATTCATTTTTAATGACTTGTGTTATTGTTGCCACCAGTAAATGTCCACATGCCAAAAGATCGTGTGACACAAATGCATCAAGGCTATGGCTTTGTAGAATTTATGGGTGAAGAGGATGCAGATTATTCCATCAAGATAATGAATATGATAAAATTGTATGGGAAACCAATTCGTGTTAACAAGGTAAGTATATACTGAACAAATTGGCTCAGGCAGTAATGCTTCTGACTTATATTTTAGAGGTTCCTGGCTCACTGGCTGAGGTATCTGTAGTTTTCCCAGCCCCTTGCCAAAGCATGTGCTGGGATAGTACCTTAAAATTAGGACATAACCACTTCCTTCCACTGCCTCTCCTGTTCATTATTCACCATCCAGTCGTTCATGTTTTATGATTCAATTTACAGACATCATTGTTGAATTAACCACACACAAATAAATAACGGGGTATAGACTGTACTTTGTATTTTATTTTTCCCCCCTTTTATTTTTTAATTTAAAGTAGGAGTCACGTCCAGGCCCTGGGAAGGATAACCATAACACCAATGGAGAGATTTCTCAGTAGCTCAGGTGGAACAAAACTCACAGTTCTCAATAAACTTCTAACACTGCTTAGCATGCATGGGCTGGAATAAGTTGAAATATGTAATGTAGAACAAGATTTTGTCTGAGAGATGAATGGTTATCCTTCTGTGTGATACTTATTGAGAGATTTTTTTCAGTAGTTACACACAAACAGAATGTATCATTGTAAGGAAATAATTTATGTTGGTCAACATAAACTCTGTGATTTATATGTGCTTTCCTAATTGTGTTTGTTTTACTACTATCCTTTCATGAATACTGGCTTGCAGTCAGGGATAATATATGCATAGGATGATAATTTCAGGGATCTCTAGTGAAGTAATGAGATGTCTGTCTGTGTGTTGTCAGATTTGTTTGATTTCACTGAACTGTAATGAACTGAAACTCAAACTGAGTAAGACTTACAGTTATAGATTTAATATCAGTGGACATAATTGTAATTATTATTCAGAAAAGAAGTTACAAAGAGTTATGATCCTTAATTATCAAGGCACTTCTTTAAAACAGTTCATTTGTTTAAAGTATTATTCCTGCATCTATGACTGTTTCATTGTGTTATTGAACCTGAAGGACTAGAACCTGGCCACTGTTAAACATTGTTCTACACTATACGGTGTGTACAGTGAGGGGCAACATAATAAGTTATCGCATCATCAATCCAATTGTTAGCTCAGGCTCTGATTACAGCGCTTGTGATCTTAAACTCGAAATAGGTCTGCCAATTGTGGACCCTTGAATACGTCTTGGTATCAATATCTGTTAGCCTTATGCCTCCTCTCTCCTTTCTTATCCATTGAAATTACCATGCTCATTAACTGTATGGAGTAAAAGGTAAAGCTATTCCTGTAACAGGCCTTGGAGGCCCATAGGGTTGTGAGACATTGAGGGTCCGACATTGTTTAGACAGTTGGCTCACAGATTGCAGTAAGGTTGTTGTCCTTACACACCAGCTGCCCTTTACCCCCCAGGAAGATTCTTGGTACTCATTTCTTAGACACTGAGTCTACCCCAGGGCTGGAAGGATTAGGTTAGTTGAAAAAAATCCAACTGTAGTAAGTATAACAGTAAATTGGATACTTTAGGAAGGAAGGAAAACATTCCAGAGTAAGTGCCTGCTTAAATACTGTTCTCATAATTAAAAATGTGATTTTGTCTCTCAGCCGGGATAGCGTAGCCGGTATAGTGACTGGCTACAGGCTGGACAACTGAGGGATCAGAGTTCAAGAGCTGGTAGGGTCAAGAATTTTCTCTTTTCCACATTGTCTAGACCGGCTCTGGGGTCCACCCAATCTCCTATTCAGTGGGTACTGGGGGCACTTTCTCTGTGAGTAAAGTGGCTGGGGTGTGAAGCTGACCAGTCACCTCCAGCTAGTGCTGAGATCAAGAAAAAGTGGATCTATACATCCACTCCCCATACACCTTCCTGGTGTAGTGCTTAATTAGTTAAACACAGGTACAATTTTACCTTTTTATTATTTTGCTATGTCATGCTTTGGCATCAGGTCATTCCTTTCAAAACCACCTCTCTAGATGTTAATTGTAAATATGAAACAGTGCTGTTAACTTTTTCTTCAATGGTTTTAGGCATCAGCTCACCAAAAGAATCTAGATGTAGGTGCTAACATTTTTATTGGGAACCTGGATCCAGAGGTAGATGAGAAACTCCTGTATGACACATTTTCTGCATTTGGTGTTATCCTTCAGACACCTAAGGTAAGTGGCTTTTTGTTACCCATAAGGAGTTTTGATACTGAAGTTGTTTTCATTTTATACAAGGTGGTATCAGAAAGTTCCCGGTATTGTTAATGTTGTAACTGCCTTGGTGAAAGAAGATGAGAGGGTAGGCCAAGGTCACACTTCCACAAGCCTATTGCATCAGTCTGCCATGTGACACTGCGCTGTGAACATGCATTGTTTTTACATGAGTGCTTTTTCAACTTCGTGTTTCTTTTTGGCTGCGATGGATGGCAAAATCGAGCAACGTGCCTGCATCAAGTTTTATATGAGGCTCAGTAAATCCACTACTGAAACCCATGAAATGCTTTGTGAGGCTTTTGGAGAACATTCTTTAAGCTGGACAGTAGCTTTTGAATGGCATTCACGTTTCGTGGTTGTTTGAGTGTCCGTTGAAGATGATGAATGTTTATGGCAACCAAGCACCAGCAAAATGACAGAAAATATTGAACAAATTCTAGAACTCATCAACAAAGACCATCGCCGATCAATCCATGAGCTCGCAGACACCATTTGGATCAGTTACGGATTTTGCTAGGAGATCTTAACAGAAAATCTGAACATGTAGCATATCGCTCCTTCATCACGACAATGTGCCCACCCACACGTCCCTGAAAACCACAGAGTTTGTGTCTAACAGAAACCTGGTTATCATTCCCCATTTTCCCTACTCTCCAGACCTAGCCTTCCCTCCCACCCTGTGATTTGCTTTGTTTCCCAAATTGAAAATGAAACTGAAGGGATGATGTTTTGAAGTAATGTCTGGCATCCAAAGGCAATCACAAGCGGTACTTGAAAGCTTCAGGAAAATGACTTTTGCGGTGCTTTTGGAGCATGGGAAAAATTATGGTGTTGCTGTATGCATTCCCAAGGAGACTGTTTTGAAGGAGATGGCCAGCATTTCTTTTTGATCTTGTCCGGGAACTTTCTGATACACCTCGTATCGTAGCCACAGTGTTGTTACTTTTTTATAGCTTCTCAACAGTGTGTTCTGTCTACTGCTTTGCAGATCATGCGTGATCCTGAGACAGGGAATTCAAAGGGGTTTGCATTCATCAACTTCGCAAGCTTTGATGCTTCTGATGCCTCCATTGAAGCAATGAATGGACAGTATTTGTGTAATCGTCCCATCTCTGTCTCATATGCATTCAAAAAGGATGCCAGGGGTGAACGCCATGGTTCGGCAGCTGAGAGACTTCTGGCTGCACAGAATCCCTTGTCTCAAGCCGACCGACCCCATCAGCTATTTGCCGATGCTCCTCCTCCAGCACCATTACCACAGCCTCCCACATTAGTTCCTCCTCCACCTCCTGTAGCCATGCTTGGTATGGTTCCTCCACCACCACCCACTCCTGGCATGCATCCTCCTCCACCTCCACCAGTTCCACCCCCATCTAGTATGCCGCCTCCTCCAATGACAATGCCACCAGGCATTCCTCCACCCCCATTACCACCACAACCCATGCATCATCCAGGCCATCCACCCCTACCTCCTGGACCACCAGGAATGCCACCCCCACCACCACTTAGGGCTGGACCACCACCACTGCCTCCCATGCCTCCCACATCAACCCCACAGCAGCAACCACCACAACAACAGCAGCAGTCACAGCAACCACTTCCACCACAACAGCAAAACAGCGTGGGACCAGGGATGGGTCAAATGGGACACATGCCACCAATGCCCCCACCACCTCAAGGAGGTCCCCCTCCACCAAGAATGATGCCACCTCCATGGCAGGGTGGTGGACAGTTTCCACCACCACCACCCCCACAGCATCATCAGGGACCTTATCAAGGCAACTATCCTCCACCACCGCCGCCACATGGTAATTGCTTCATTCACTTCAAGAAGTTCTTACATGTGTAATCTCTTGGCTCTTATAATTGCTGTTTCCCTGTTGGCTCTCTTGGTTGAGGTTTTTATTTGCCCATCCGGATGAATGCCAGGCTAGTACCATAATTAGTCCACAACCACTTCCTTCCAAATCCTTCCCAATTCATATTTATGTCTTGTCCTATCAGTCAGTACTTCATAGCATGTGATATTGAAAGTGTTGTAAAGTAACCCACCACCTATGGAGGAAAATAGACATTCTTCATTATGACCACTCATATTCTTGAATGCATTGCTTCAGATAGAATTGTTTGATTTTGAAGATCCAGCATCTTGTGGGGTAGTGATGAGATTTCCAGGTTCCAGGATAGTGAACAGTAAGGGGGTACCATGTTGTTATTACTTACTCAGCTGAACATACTAAAAATCAGTAGCGTTCTGATGAACAGTGACTGCAGTGACATGAATAATGAACGTATGGTTAAGGTAAAGGTGAAGTTTCCCCTGTGTCTAATCCTCAGACCTTGAAGGCATGTGGAGGGACTGGAAGCAGGGTCCACACATCCAGCCTTGGCAGTAGATGGGCATGAGTGGTCTGCTTCATGATCCCAGCGCTATCCATTTGTTGAATAGGACCCTGTTTTCCATTGGTTGATGGTTGATCTGACGTTATCTTATGATATGTTAGAGCACACATTTTCAGTTCCTTTTTGCAAGGGGAATGAAACAGTTTTTTCTCCTTTTTGTACTCTTAACTGTTTAAGTTTGTTCCAAATATGATAATCTGTTAGATTTAAATCTGGAGAATGTGGTATCCTTCCTGTGGATTTAAAAAATTCAGTTGTCATCATGTTGACACTTTCAAAGAACAGGTAATATGAGTGTACCACATAAACTAGACTGAATACATGAACATAACTTTAACTATTGGCATGCAGTTATTACTAAAGAACATAATGACAGCAGTGTAATGAATTAAAGCAACAGATAATAAAAGAATTTTGAAAAAGCTAACACAAGATAAATGTGGTCTGCTGCAGCACAGTGACATGAAACCGATTACAGCTCATGACATTTTTTAAATAAATTTTAACTCAATTAAAAAAAATTATTATTTTACGTAGAAACTCATACCAAATGCCAATGTAATTTAATATCCACTGAGTAGTATATAAGTAAACAGTAAAATTATACATAGAATATAGCCACTTTACTTCTTATGTATGTAAACTTTGAATATAGTGATTAATGCTAGTACAATGATAAGAAATATTCAGAAAAGATTATGTGCTACAATTCAATAATTGTGTAATTAAGAACACTTGTAGATGACCTTGTAAGTGTTGAAATGTGTAGTGTGATTTAAATTAATAAACGTTTGTTGTGTTGACAGCTGAATTTGTAAAATTAATAATGTCAGTTCTTTTTTTATAATTCAAAATGGAAAATATTTTTCTGTGTAACAAATTAACCAGACTGAATTTATCTTTTTGTACATGAAATTAGGTATGTTTTGTGCAACTTGATGAGTTTCATTGAAATGCAATGAGCCATTCATTTTTGCCTCTGAAACTTTTTTTGAACCAGCCAGTGTTATACTGTTAACAGTTAGCAATATGAAGTTGATGAACTGTATGCTGATATCACTTTTAATTTTCTAGGTGGACCACCACCTGGTTGGCGACCACCTCCACCAGGCCGACCTCCATTTGGACGTCCTCCATTTCCACCTCGTGGTCCCCCACCACCTCCAAGAGGCATGAGGCCTCCCCCACCTCCACGTGGTGTAAGACCTGGTCAGCCAGGAAGCAGTGATGGTTCATATGACAATTATGACAATTCTTATGACAATAATAATTATGAGAATAATTATGATAATTCGTATGATAATTATTAGGCAAGTGTTCATGATTCAGTTATAACAGTACATCCTAATTTGGCACAGAAGGTTTTCTCACAAGTTCTGTAATTTAACATATCCTGTTACATGTTTCAAGTGGGTCATTATAATTTATACTGATCTATAATGAGTATAAGAATGAATAATATACTTTATATGTACATATACAGCATTTTTTTTATTTCATGCATCCTGTTGTGTCGTAATATACAACTTCTTTATTAAAACTGTCACAACACAACTATATCAAGGTCAGTGCCTAGTTTGGCAGAGCATTTATTATGTATTTCACTGGGCCATGCCATAGCTCTGGCAGTTAGTCACTGGCTTTCCACTGCAGCAGCCTGGGTTCGATCCCAGGTCAGGTTGTGTGGGTTTTGTAGTGGACAAAGTGGCACTGGGTAAGTTTACTGCAAGTACTTCAGTTTCCCCATCCAGTTCTCATTCCACCAACTGCTCCACAATCATCATCATCAATCATCCGGGGGTTGTACATTAGGCCAACTAATGGCTGATGAACCAAGTGAACTCAGTCTCAACCCACGTAAATAAAATGACAAAAGATATGCATTTCACTTCATCCTCAGACTCCTGTTATCCTGTAATTTTTTCTTACCACAAACACAGATTATGAGCCATCATTGAATGGAGGTCATTCCATATTTTAGACCACACACTGGATACTGTGATACCATTTTCTGTTGCAAACCAGAAAGATTACAGAGTGACAGTGTTCACAGGATGTCATAGTGACTAGCATACTGATGTCTCGCCAAATGGTCTCAGTTCTGATTATGCATTCATCAGGTGTTTATGGTTGTGATGAAGTATATTTTGTCATCATTTCCCTTGCCTGGTGGGATCTATTTTCTTGGATATAACAACATTTAGTCCATTGAAAGTCAGCGAACATTTCGGATTGTACAAGTGATCAGATCATTTAGAGTCCTTGAGATGGCACCACTTGCTCATTTGCTTAAGAATTTCCTGGGATCTTACGTATCATGAAGGTTCATTACATTATTCACAAGAGCATGCCACAGGTCCCTGTCCTGAGTCAGGGTTCTGAGTCTGCACAGGATTTGACTCATTTTGCCGTGTTTGGTGCAAGTGATGTCGCCACCAAAATATAAGTGCATATTCAGAAGGAACATATGTGCTCAGCACATATTATTCATAATACTATTCAAAGAACGGCACATGGTGGCGTAGTTGGTTCAGTTACTATGCTACAAGCTGGAAGGTCAAGGGTTCAAGTCCCGATGAGGTCATTGGATTGTGTTCAGTTGACCTAATACTTCCAGCCGCACCATGGCCCTGGGATTGACTCAGTCTCTAACAGAAATGAGCACCAGGAATATTCTTGAAATATTCTTGGAGGTAAAGGGCGGCCGGTGCATAAGGTTGACAATCTTGCTGCCATCTATGAGCCGATTGTCTAGAAAATATGGGAACCTCAACATCTCACAACCCTGTGGGACCAAGAGTATAAAAAGATCTTAGGCTACAATAAAACAAGCTGGCGTGCCCTACTCCACGGTATTGAATGGCTTCTAAACATGTTTTTGTCCCTGAAATCCTTTTTTGAATCTCAAGATAAATGTCCATTTGTTATCAAGGTGAATTTTGAAGCTCCTTAGTCAGAGGCTTGGCTGCACTTTGTGCACAATCAAGCATCAATTTTTAATGCAGCAGTTGAAGAAGTAGAGGGTCATACAGTCACAATTTTTGAAGTTATTAATATGTTAAACAATCTGAAAAACAATTTTAGTTTCTAAGCCTGAGGACTGCATTCTTTCATCTACTGGAGAGAAAGAAGCCTTTGGGCTGGAAGTGACAAAATGTCGTCCATATGTTTTACTATACTGCCATAGAATATTTGTGCAAATGGATGTCTCATCTTGAACACCTGCAAGCCTTTAGCTGGGTAACTCTTTGTATGATGCAGCACTGGGAAGACATTAAAAAGACAATGGAAATTGTGTGGAAAGTTACACCGTCATTTGACATTGATGATAATGTCTTGTATGATAAATTTGTATGTATTAAACAATATATCAATCCAGAAAAATTGGCTGAGTAGAAATCAGCAAGAACATCACCAGATGGGCATTGGGTGGAAATTGTTTCACATTTCAATACCAGTGATGTGCCTTATTCAAACACATTGAAATTAGTTGGGCTCCTTCCGAGTCTGCCTGGAAGTAATGCCCCAACTAAGAGTGTGTTTTCCTTCATGGAGAGTTTGTGGACAAGTGAGAAGACCCAGCTATCTGTTGAAATTCTGAAGGCAGTTTTAATCACCAGAGTTAACTTGAGTACATTTACATGGATTTTTTTGAAAATGTTGTGTGGTAAAAGATATGTCTAGAAGAAGATCCATTCCTCCCAAAAATGTCAATGACATGGGCCTTTGGGAAGCCAATGTGAACCTGAAAACTTTGTCAGGTGAGTTAATCATTTGTCTTAAATAAATTAATTGCATTTAAGATATGGCATAAATTTTATATTCTCAGAAATAATACAACCAGAATAACATTTTCCATTCAAAATTGTTAGTGTGTTCATGGAAAAGCACTTTGCACATTTTAATTAATTATAATAAATTGTTCTGGTCAGATAAATAAGTAAGCGATCTTGTTCATGTGCATATGGGAAAATGCAGAGAGAGAGAGAGGAAAATAAAATTCACTGTATGAGAGCTGCTTCTTTCTGTTCTGTACAAATGCCGTTGATAATGGCGCAGTGGAGGCTGCATTGTATAGCGATGTCTGTAATATGCCTCACCATTAAGATGGCATTAACTATTTAGGGGTAGGAGGGGAGGTTCAAGTGAGAAGGAAACTATTAGGGAGTATATACAAATTTCTGCCAAAGAAAGTCTAGGTTATTATAAATTGAAGAAGCATAAGCCATGGTTTGATGAAGGATTCTCAAAATTATTAGACAAATGGAAACAAGCCAAATTGAAATGGTTACAGGATCCAAACAAAATAAATGAGGATAACCTGAACAATATAAGACATGAAACTAGCAGGCATTTCAGGAATAAAAAGAGGGAATATCTGAAAGACAAAATTGATGAGCTTGCAACAAACAGCAAGAACAAGAATATTAGAGACTCTGTATAGAGGAATAAATGAATTTAAGAGGTGTTACCAAGCAGGAAGTAACTTAGAGAAAGATGAAGATTGTGATCTGGTTGGAAATTCCACATTTCGAATAGGTGGAAGAACTATTCTCAGTTACTGAATGCACATAGGGTCAGTGATGTTAGGCAGTTAATGATATGTACAGCTTATCCATTAATACCTGATCCTAGTCCTTCTGAGGTTGAAATTGCTACTGCAAAGGGAAAAGATATAATTCACCAGGTAGAGATCAAATTCTGGTAAAAGTGATTCAAGCAGGAGATGAAGTATTACATTTTAAGATCAAGAAGATAATTAATTCTATTTGGAATAAGGAAGACTTCCCTGATCAGTGGAAGGAGCCTACTATTATACTAGTTCACAAGGTTATGAAACTGACTATAGTAATTATCATGGGATATCACTGCTATCAACTTCATACAAAATTTTATCCAATATTCTTCTCTCAAGTTTAAGTTGATACATAGATGAAATTATTGGGGATCATCAGTGTGGGTTTTGATGAAAAAGATCCACTACTGATAAGAATTTTGCATTCATCAGATACTGGAGAAAATATGGGAGTACAATGAGACAGTACATCAGCTATTTGTAGACTTCAAGAAAGCCTATCGTAAATGCCAGAGGGAAGTATTATACAATATTCTCACAGAGTTTGGGATACTCATGAAACTAATTAGGATGATTAAAATGTGTTTAAATGAAACCTATAGTAATGTTCATATTGGCAAACATTTGTCTGATAATTTTCCTATCCAGAATGGTCTGAAACAAGGAGATGTTTTATCACCACAGCTTTCCAACTTTGCTTTAGAATATACCATTAGGAAGGTCTGTGGAGCTGGGGTCGAATACCTCCACTTTGATCCTGCGAGTCGTAGGAGGCGACAAAAAGGAAGTCTCAAATCTGAGACAGTAATATATTATCACGAGTCCCAACGGACTCAGACCCGAGAATAACTGCACTGGCAAGGGCCAGCAGCATATACAAATGGCAGACCCATCCTCTTGTCAGAGAGGGTGCCCCATAAAAACAAGACCGTAAATGCCAAAGAGTAATAAATATCTGGTTATGAGCCCTAGATGGGGCTTGACACCAAGATTTACTGACTGACTGGCTGTCAGTCACAATGTGACTTGGACTTGGAAGTAATCAGTCCCCAGTTACAGTTGAAGGCTGAAGTTCCCACCTGGAACTTTTGTACCCCATTAAGGTCAACTGAAATAGAGGCTGACACTGGAGATGATGTGGACGAATCCACTGAGGGTAGCAACTGCTGTCATCATCCAGCTAGGCAGGTAGACTTCCCACTATTGTACTAACCTCTCAGGTAAACCTGATACAAGCAAAAGCAGCTGAAAGACGACTTCATGTTCCATAGCACCAGAAAAAGGACTGAAGTTGGCATGAAAGAAATGGCGGATTTTTAAACCATCTGCTCTCACTTCAAGAGGAATAACCTCCCATACTTCACCTTCTATTCCAAATCCCAAAAACCTATAAAGGCTCTGATACTGCACCTTCCATTCACCACTCCTGCAGAGGACATCTCAGATGGGTTGGTGGACACTGGCTTTGATATTATTAGCAACACTCAAATGTCAGCTGCTCACCTGCAGAAGGAACATTCACAGTAAACCTTCCCCACTTCTTCATAACTGAGAAACATTTGCCATATTGTGATTATGACAGAGGTGTACAAAGCTCAGACTTGTCTTGTGCAGTGTTACAACTGCCAGAAATTTGGCCATATCTGGGCTAACTACAAGCAACGTCTATGTTGTATGTGGTGTGGGGGTGTTCACTTGCATAAAGAGTGCCTGGAAAAGGGCATTGTAGCATTGATACCAACATGCTGCAAATACAAGTTAGTGGACAGAGAGGAACCTCATCCCTCAAGTATTGAAGCTGCATCCATACCAGGGATGAGATATGAGGAAGAATACTTTGGGAAGAGAGTTCTCTTCCAACCACACCACTCTTGGACAGTCTTTTTCAGCGGCACTGCACAGCA